GTACTAGCCACTCACCTGACACCTTTTATAACCTTGAACTGACTTGTCGATTTTCCTACCCCACACTCTACAATTCTGTTATCATAAATCACCATCATTGTCTCCCGTTTTACAATATTTTCTAATCGATTTCAGCCTAGCACGTTTGTCACACAAATACGACTATTTATTTTGACACCTCCTCATAACTACTAATCTGTTATTCTACGTTAAAAATGTATCCGCCGCCGCATACCTGGCTATCTTTATTGTACCGACCACAAATATTATATTTTGTAATTGTAAGAACCTGAAGAGAAATTATTGAAAAGAATATTCTACCTCGTTCAGATTGACTTTTAACACACATATATTACCACCTTCGTTTTTTCTGTTGCCACCTACATAAATTCTCTCTCCTTTTGTCAACATTAACCTTATTATCATTATATACAATTGGTGGATGGTGGCTAGCAGTGGAATCCAGGATGCGCATTTCGTCCTAATTGGGACTCGTCAGCTGGATGTACCTGCATTTCTCAGTGAGTGATGATGTCCCCACCGAGGATCGAACCCAGTGCCCATAGTTTCAAACGCCAAAGCGTTATCCACTAGACCACTTGGGCCACGAGAGCCACCTCTTGTGCAACGGGTCATATATTAATTATTGAATTGAATTTTTGATTTTCCCGTCGATTGATTGGACCGAAGTGTTCGGTCTCAGGTTGACATGTCGGCTTCTTGTGCAGATGCTTCGACGATGTCTGGGGATTTGATTTGTATACAATTGGTGGATGGTGGCTAGCAGTGGAATCCAGGATGCGCATTTCGTCCTAATTGGGACTCGTCAGCTGGATGTACCTGCATTTCTCAGTGAGTGATGATGTCCCCACCGAGGATCGAAACTATTGGCGTTTGAAACTATGGGCACTGGGTTCGATCCTCGGTGGGGACATCATCACTCACTGAGAAATGCAGGTACATCCAGCTGACGAGTCCCAATTAGGACGAAATGCGCATCCTGGATTCCACTGCTAGCCACCATCCACCAATTGTATACAAATCAAATCCCCAGACATCGTCGAAGCATCTGCACAAGAAGCCGACATGTCAACCTGAGACCGAACACTTCGGTCCAATCAATCGACGGGAAAATCAAAAATTCAATTCAATAATTAATATATGACCGTTGCACAAGAGGTGGCTCTCGTGGCCCAAGTGGTCTAGTGGATAACGCTTTGGCGTTTGAAACTATGGGCACTGGGTTCGATCCTCGGTGGGGACATCATCACTCACTGAGAAATGCAGGTACATCCAGCTGACGAGTCCCAATTAGGACGAAATGCGCATCCTGGATTCCACTGCTAGCCACCATCCACCAATTGTATATAATGATAATAAGGTTAATGTTGACAAAAGGAGAGAGAATTTATGTAGGTGGCAACAGAAAAAACGAAGGTGGTAATATATGTGTGTTAAAAGTCAATCTGAACGAGGTAGAATATTCTTTTCAATAATTTCTCTTCAGGTTCTTACAATTACAAAATATAATATTTGTGGTCGGTACAATAAAGATAGCCAGGTATGCGGCGGCGGATACATTTTTAACGTAGAATAACAGATTAGTAGTTATGAGGAGGTGTCAAAATAAATAGTCGTATTTGTGTGACAAACGTGCTAGGCTGAAATCGATTAGAAAATATTGTAAAACGGGAGACAATGATGGTGATTTATGATAACAGAATTGTAGAGTGTGGGGTAGGAAAATCGACAAGTCAGTTCAAGGTTATAAAAGGTGTCAGGTGAGTGGCTAGTACAAAGTGGTCTGTATTAAAGAGGAGTAGATAGTAAGACTAGAATGAGAGGTTCATAATGAAATAACGAATATGTTAAATGAAAAGAATATTCTACCTCGTTCAGATTGACTTTTAACACACATATATTACCACCTTCGTTTTTTCTGTTGCCACCTACATAAATTCTCTCTCCTTTTGTCAACATTAACCTTATTATCATTATTTTCGCTGCCACTGTATACCGTATTTTTCATGTCCAGTTATCTATGACCATGAACTTTAGTCGAAAGTAATCAATTGAAAAATCTGATGCAAAAGTACACATTGTTTATAGTATGTTTATAGGTGGACTAATATTTGTAAGCCTGAGGTGAAATTTTCATAACAGTTCATGTACTTTTGTTTATATTATTTTGACGTACGCAAAGACACTAGGAATGTTCTCTCGAATTAATTCCCATAGCATCTCTAGCTATGTGTTTGACAGGCAGGATCGAATTCCGTTTGAAAGGTTCTTTGATGGGATGAGATAGATAACTTTGAAGCCACTACTTCTGTTCACCTGGTGACCGCCAGCATCAGCCAAATGAGACAAAATAGAACCTCGTATAGATTTTATTTGGCCTTTCTCCGAAACATGAATGAAAGATTCATTATAATAAAAGTTTTTCTGTATTTCCCAACGAATGAAAAACAAAACGATATTGTTGTTCTTACTGACGTTTCGCTATTTAACGCTGCTAATAGCTTTCTCATGAATGAAAGATGTTCAGTTATAGATTTGTTGAGCTGTCTAATTATCATTATTATTGTTATTTTTAATCCAGAAACTCACTGTCATTGGTTAAAAATGTTTATATATAAATTTATGTAAATTAGAGCAAAGCCTGAAGAAGATCTAGTTGAAAACATCAATAATGTTCGTTTATATGTCTTGTTCTAATATTATCATTGGGAATGTTTAGAGATTTGAAATCATGTTGTTATGTGTAATATACGCATTCTAAATGATAATCATAGCTGACCTACTATTATTCCATCGCTTCTCACACACAACACCCTTTCTGATATAAAATTTTTATTTGTTTTTGCTGGATATTTCAGATTAAAATGAATACACATCAAATTTGTTCCTTTACCTCACTGAGCCAGAAATAATCCTGGTAAAGAGGAAAGGTTGGGCATGAGGCTAGCAACCCCATCCTGTAAAAATTAAACACTGCTACAGAAACTTCAAGCCACTAGCTTGGAGCCCTATGTTCCACTGGGAACGTGAAGGAAAAATTATTATTATTATTTACATCAAATTTGTAGATCCTGAAAATGAACTCAATAAAATTACAGTAATTTACGCTAATTATTCTTCTACTGAGTAAACTATGTCTGTTTTGATCAAAGTTCATTTGAAAGTGTACACAGTTTCAAAAGATACACTTAGTTGTGTTCTTTGAACTGGTTGATTTAATGACTAAGCTTTCGCCGTGCCTGTGTTAGACATCATCTCCTTTCAGATCAGGTTTTAGTTATGAAATGAACTCATGAATGAACGTATAATTGTATCTGCTGACAAGATTTGTCCCGCATGATTAGTTATCAGTTTACATTGATCCTATTTACTGACTAGGAATTAGAACTCTTTAGTCATGTGGCTTACAGCTGTCCAGTACTCCCAGGTTTTCCAATGTTTCTCTAACTAATGTCAGCTCATGATGAATATCCTGTTACCAATCAAATGCCTACAAACCAATATTTGATTATTTTTTATTTGTTGGTAAATTTGATGTCTATTAATGTATCTGTTAAACGTTGATTCTTCTGAATACCAGGCTTCGACGAATTCTCTGGCATTTTTGATGTTTTTTTTAATTTTAAATTTCTACATTACCTTAATCAAACTGGTGTACGTAATTGTCTAAATTCTTCGACATGAAAGAGTACATCTCCTGTCTTTCCACAACTAATACACGTTCTTGGATTTTGATTCGAAGGGGATGCCCATTCTGACTGATGTGATGTTTATCGCAGTTCATACATGTAATTTATTTTGGTAATGGTATTAATTTTATCTTCGCTTTCTGTTGGACGGTTCTTTCGGTTTGCACAACATCGAATGAAGTGGGGATTGTGCTGGCTGGCTGGCTGGCTTGTATGCTATGTCAGCTTCAAATGGTCTTAATATTCAAGCTGTTATTTCAGAGATATTTTGTATGACTCAGTTTTAAACGCTTTTCGATGAAATTTTAAGGATATCCATTCTTTTTGAAGACAGTTAGTCGGTATTTTCCCCCCATTAGCTTCAACACTGTGTTTGAACTCTTTTAAACAATGTCTGAACACAGTTTCTTTTGTGGTTAATTGGGTTATTACTACTATAGTTGAGTATCTGGTCTGTGTGCGTTGATTTTTTTTTACACACTTGTGTCTCTTAATTTCCTGTGTAAGTTTTCCTGATTAAGACATCAGAGAATCGTGTTTTGTTGTCTAATTCTTCTTCCCTCTTGGTGAAAATTTGATTTCTTCAAATATGTTGTTTATTAATTTATGAGTGTACTCCAAATCATTTTCAGCATAATGTACCCAGAGTATTGGTTTAATTGTGGCCAGGGAGGGCTATTAATTCTAATCTTTGCATAACGGATTCACCTATTAATCGTGATATGGGCGATCGCATTGTAGTTCCAATTATCTGTTCGGTATATCTGATTATTGAATTGGAAATTTATTGGAAGTCACAATTCTATGAGTTCCCTACAAGTTGAACATTGCGTTTTTAGAGCAGTTGTTGCATAGTTTCTTTTGTTAGGTTTTGACCAATTCAAGTGTATAATGCTGTGACATCAAAGGATACTATTATTTCATTGTCATCTACTAAATTTGGATTAACGAACTAATAGAATAGCGGCATGATTCTGTTCAATATTTTAATTTCCTGAAAAGTTCTTTTGGACAGATTATATGTTGGAGTTGCTGGTAGCGAAGTGATAATTACTTTGTGGTCAAGTTATAACTAGTGATGAATTATCGATCACTTATTGACATTGTCGATAACCTTGTAATGAACCTAAGTGTATAAACATGATAGTGACACATTCAAAACACTCTCTATGTGAGTATGTTGATAACACATTAGTTATTGAAAAGACTGTTAATTATCATTTGTTATAATAAACTTTTTTTTTAATATATGAGAATTTATGCGTACCAGGTAAAATGATGAAAACATACCCTCTTGGTGCTTTGATGGATCAATATATGTTATAAGATCTTGTGAACACAGCTCAGTCGATTCGCCTAAATATATATTTCAATACAAAAAAATATAGGAATAAGTCAATTCGCATTTCTAATTAAGAAATATTAAGTAAATTACAAAGTTTGAGTCTTGCTCACATTCTGTGAGGATCATAAAAAAGAAATCTACTAATAAAAAGGAAGTTGACGGCCTTACCAGAGGTCATCACACAACTTCGAAACCTATTTTTTAAAGTCCTCTTTCTTCACTCTTACTTATTCTAAGGGTGGGAGAATATTCCAGATATTTCGAACGGGTGTTGAACCATTCCAGTTTTACGCATTTTTAGTTGATTCGATAAATAAAACATCTGTCATTAATCTCTCCTTCGACCATGTAATTTATATTAGATTTTAGTACTGTCATTCCGTCCTATTGTGTGGTTGTATGTGATTGCATGTAGGCAGTGCTATAGCTGAACTATTCTCCAGATTTCTTATCTTATTCGGGTCGACTAGTCTCGATTTTGCTGTTAGGTTTTTGTGTTCTCCTAGTCTGACTGACTGACCATGTACTATTGTGGTGAGAGCAGGCTGCTAGCCGATTGGTTGGCACTAATCTACGTTAAGGTCTAGGTCACTAATATGGGCCGTGAACAAGCCTGAGTCAACAACCAATCACAGCAAAGTTAACGTGGCAAAATATGATTCGCAGAGAGAACTCTATTTGTCAAGGAATCCCGAAACAACCAATCAGAAGCCTGCGTTTGTCTGCCTAAACAACCAATCAGATGACTGCGCTTGTCTATAATAATGTAGTTGAAAGATGTATAAATACGTGTTGATTTTCATAATAAAACGATCTGTTGCCTGGCCCTTGTCTTCTGTTGTTACATTTGGTGTCGCTGCCTACCGAAAATGAAAAGCCTATACCCTGCAGTTTTTGATGGAGACATATGGATCTTCGGGCAGGACTTCAAGGCTTCTGCGCAGTTGAGTGGCGTTCAAGATCTGTCAGCGATGGAGCTGCTACTTGAGACGCTGCTGGGAGGTCGGGCGAAAGCAGCATATGAAGGTGTGGGCCGAAGTATGGACGAATGTTCGACAGGGTCAGGCAAACAGTTTCCAAAGTGGGAAGGACCATATATGGTCACTTTGAGATGGGGTTACGCAGACACAGTCGCAATGGCGAACAATGAGAGGCGCGTGAACGTCAGCGAGCTCCAGAAATGGATACAGCGAGACAAGCCAACGATGACGCCTGCACCAAGTAGATCAAGCCGACTTCAGTCGCACGTATTTGACGGGGGGACGAGTGTGGTGAGAGCAGGCTGCTAGCCGATTGGTTGGCACTAATCTACGTTAAGGTCTAGGTCACTAATATGGGCCGTGAACAAGCCTGAGTCAACAACCAATCACAGCAAAGTTAACGTGGCAAAATATGATTCGCAGAGAGAACTCTATTTGTCAAGGAATCCCGAAACAACCAATCAGAAGCCTGCGTTTGTCTACCTAAACAACCAATCAGATGACTGCGCTTGTCTATAATAATGTAGTTGAAAGATGTATAAATACGTGTTGATTTTCATAATAAAACGATCTGTTGCCTGGCCCTTGTCTTCTGTTGTTACACTATTACTTTGATCTAGGTATTCGACCTGATAATCACTCCAGCAAGGCATTAGATAAACTAATTTATTTTGTTGAATAGGCTCCAGAAGATGCATCGACTGACATGATTTCTTTCTAAGTGAATTTTCAAGTTTGAATGCCAGTGAATAATACTCTTTTATTGGTTATAGGATTCCATCATCACCTGCCACTGATTAGAGGACTATTGGAAGGCCGGTTGGGAGTATCGGACAGCCAGCTGTTTTGTCAGCCTAGTTTGGGAATCTTCATCAGTATGCACTCACAGCCAGGGTTCAAACCCACGACCTTCTGGTTAAAAGGCGAGCTAGATTATAGATCATTCAGTCACTAGGGTCCGATCCAATGACCAGTCCATAAAATCCAGATTCTGCCAATTCACTATAGAATGAGACTACTAGTCATTTTTATCGCTGTCCTCCCAGCCGACCTACTCTAACCTACTGGTCATGATTTCCTACTAGAACCCAGGTAACTACCTACCTACCTGAATAGGGTCAGGTAGGGTCAGGTCACTGATGAGCATCAGATCGATATTCAAGTGCTGGTTCGCAGGGATTTCATTTGATGTGTTTCAGGATTTTATCATGAAAATTAAAAGATGTTGAAATTTTACAGTCATCCGATCACATAATGAGTCACATGATACATATATCCGAAGTCATCAGAATCCATCGAAAAATGAGAAAATTGATAAAGCCACTTTCATTACCTTGGCTAAAGCTAAATAAATATAAAAATATGACTACTGAGCCCTCTGCTTAAGCCTTTTAAAAATTATTATTGTCCGAATTATTTTATTATTCTTCATCTTTATTCAATTGTTGGTTTGTAGGGATTTGATTGGTTACAGGATTTCATCATCAGCTGACATTGGTTAGAGAACCATTGGGAAACCTAGGAGTACTGGACAGCTGTCTCGTCCCAGTTTCGTAGTCGTCAGCAGAAAGCGCACACCGGGATTCGAACCCAGGACCTGGTTACAAGGCAAGCTTTTAGACCATTGATCCACTGGGACCCGATTCATTGGCCAGCCCATGAATCCATGATCAACTCGTAAAAACGAATCTAATCCTTACAAATCTACTAATGAAAATATATAATTACTAAAAGTTATATGCAACTGGTGGATGGTGGCTAGCAGTGGAATCCAGGATAACTCGAATTTCGTCCTATTTGGGACTCGTTAGCTGGATGTACCTGCATTTCTCAGTGAGTGGCCCAAGTGGTCGATTGATTGGACCGAAGTGCTCGCTCTCAGGTTGAAAATCAAAAATTCAATTCAATAATTAATATGACCCGTTGCACAAGAGGTGGCTGTCGTGGCCCAAGTGGTCTAGTGGATAAGGCTTTGGCGTTTGAAACTATGGGTACTGGGTTCGAGCCTCGGTGGGAACATCATCACTCACTGAGAAATGCAGGTACATCCAGCTGAAGGACGAGTCCCAAATAGGACGAAATGCGCGTTATCCTGGATTCCACTGCTAGCCACCATCCACCAATTGTATACTAATTAAATACCCAGACATCGTCGAAGCATCTGCACAAGAAGCCGACATGTCAACCTGAGACCGAGCACTTCGGTCCAATCAATCGACGGGAAAATCAAAAATTCAATTCAAAAGTTATATTGTTTAATCATTTAGTTACCTGTCCAACATATTGGCTTCTTCATTAACTCCTCAGCAATACATTTACTAAGGCACAGTTTCAAATTGACTGTCCAAAATAACTTCCTTTATAAGACAAATACTTTGATAAAAGAGATAAATTATACAATTTACTCTTTATTCCATTTCAATGCATCAGTATTGATACCTTGTACGAAGTTTGTCTTACTTGTTTGAATTGATTGTTGCTGAAAATGGCGGTCACACTGTCGATTATTTATTTGTTTAAAATACATGGGGTAGAGTAATATTTGTTGATTGGTAAATATCTGTAATTATAAAACAATGCAAAGGATTATTAAAGGTAATAATATTTTCGAAGTTGGTGTGAATACAAGTCAAAAATGGTATTCGAAAACTTGTCACCAAGTAGAAAATAATACTTCTCAATGTGTTGGTTTGCAGGGATATAGATTAAGTTCAAGACTGACTACTAACTGTCTACATTTAGAAAACAGTTGAAAACCAGGGAGTGCTGGATAGTTTACATGAGCTTGGAATTCAAAGGGGACTACTTAGCTTCCGATATCATGAAACGAAGGATATCACAATCCCTGAAAAGAACATTCCCCGATGCATCTCTGAGAATGGCCTTTACTAGTCGACCATTACTATCCAATAACCTGAAGGATAAGATGCCGTTGTTGACTAACTTTATGTGTCTTTATCAAGTCACCCGCTTGTGTGGAACTAGGTATATCGGTCGTTCGACTCGAGTTTTGTCCAAGAGGATGCAAGAACACTATCCTGCATGGTTGTTATGAAAAGGTGAAAGTGGAGCAATAAGAAGCGCGATCATTGAACATCTGGTCGATAATGATCACCCTATCTCTATAGCCTCCGCCTTTAAAGTCATCTACAAGGCAAAGAGTAATTAACCCAAATCCCTATGTACCCGACTCATCTGTATTGCTGAAGCCATCTTTGGCTGTCGAAACAGAGAAGCCAGATCTCTGTGTACAGAAAAACTTTCGTTCAACCTCTCCAACTTTCATGGTCTTAATCCCTCTATGCTAAAGTATGGTAATCCCCAATCATATTTTAGCTCTACAAATTATTCATTTTTTCATTTTGTCTATTCAATTTGTATACTCTTCCTTATTAAGTCAACTGTTATTATTACTATTCTCACTGTGAACTGTCCCCGGTATTATTTCACTTGTTCCACTTGTCATTCTTAATCACTTCTTTTTTACAACGATAAATTCTATGCTATCGAATTTCACACAGTATTATGTAACTTTTTTATTTTTATTTTGTTCGATTTGTCTACTAATCCTATAATTGCACACCCTTTTTCAAGTTCTATCCATCCTATGAATTATTCTATATATGACATTAATTTGCTTTGCCACTTGACATTTAACTATGAGTGTAATCACAAACATTTTAGTTTTCTAATTGCATTTCATACTACTATTATTATTATTTTATGCATTCACACCTATGATTCAATTCCTTCAACGGATATAACTTCTTAAAAACCATATACACATACGATTGTACAGCTTGATGATAAATTTGTTGTTGAACAGAGTTTCTTCGCTGAATCATCACTTGTTTTGATTTTCTATGCTGGATAGTTGTTTCGTGTTTATTTGGGATTTTTATGGATTTCATACCTGTAACCCGGGGATCCACCGGGGATCAAATCTAGGAACTTTATGTCTAAAGGCAAACTCGTTGACGATTCAGCCACTGGGACGACATGCAACGGCACATGAATTTTGCTTTCTGCCAATCCACCATATATATAACGCTGTCGCCATGGTTCCCAGTGTCTCTCTAAATGAAGTTAGTTCATCACCAACTCTGAAATCAGCCGAACCTTTGCAAAAAGACACTTGAAAATAAATATGGTTACATAATGGGGAAGATTTGTAGCTCAAATGGATAATTTTGATGTCGCTAAGTTCTCTGAGCTGGATATTTAGTTTATTTGCGAAGCTTTCATTTCCCTACTAGGCAACATCTTCAGCGCATACTTCAATTTGAAGTGCAAATAATTATAGTGCTTACTAGTAACTAAAGGTTGAGACTGTTTGACTAATTGGATGTCAGGACAACAATTCGCCGATGCCATTGGCGGGAGGTCGTACTTATACCACGAATCAGCAGAAGTTTGAATTGGTTGACATGAAATCCTATCTAAATGGCTCGGTGGTCTTGAGTTCGACCTCTGGTGGGAAGAGTCATGGGTATTTACTGCTGAATACTCCCAAACAAGGAAGAGGTGGTTTTCCAGTACACCTTGGTTTTCAACGGTTTTGTTATGTGAAGACAGTTATTGATCAATACTGAAATCCTAATACTGTTTCATTATATGCTTATATTCTTCATTAATTTTCACCAGGCTTGTTAACTGTTCATCGGTGGTTCACCGGTAGACCACTCGTCAACAACAGATGTAATCCGGGGTTCGATCGATGGCCGACGCACGCCTTAACCTAACCTAGCAGACAGTAACGCGCTCGTAGAGAGGAGAGGTTATGTAAAAGGCTAGCGACCTCACCTATTTATGAATTTGTCGATACTAATGATAATGGGCGAAAAACATAATTATTTCTCGATGAATCATGTTAGAAGTTTGCACAATTACTGGATTTATTCAAAATGAGTTCTATCTTACAAGGTATTACTCTCCAAGACTGGAGGCAATTCTCTGCTCATAGTCTCCTCAGAGAGTGAAAGCAGTAGACACAGAGCTCAGAGTAAAAAGAATAATAGGAAAAGCGACAACTATAGTCTTGATACTATGTTTCATCGTAGCACAGAAGTCTCAGCATAGTTACTCTTCGTACAGGAACTTCACTGCATCACTGGATCAGTAAGTAGTGGAATGCTTGCCAACCATGCTAAACGTCCGCTTTTGATTCTTGGCCAGTAGTAATCTTTGAAATGGGTTGAGATAAGGCGTAGGGCTAGCAATTCCACTACGTACAAAAGGTAACACCAGTTTTACTAAAATGTATGCACCACAGCATGTAAACATCTAAATTCGGCTTTTCCTCTGAGCTACCATTCCATGAAGTAATACTAACCGATCAGTCTGGACATATTTCAAGAACAGTATACTCATCGAAGAAAGTTTTTCAAGGAACTTGAAATTAAACTTTACTTTCATATATTTAATTAAGACTTGTTTTCATAGTATGGGTGTCAAAACTGTCAGTCATATTTTGTGATATTAGGTGGTTGGAAACAAACGGCAGGAAGCTTCGGACACCACCTAAGTTTCGTGCTATATGGCACTCATCGGTCAGTAAGGTGTATATCCAACCACAATGAAGAAACTCATGTCCCACCTGAGACTCGAATCCGCATCACCCAGGGAGTAATGCAGTCAGAGACGTCACCACCACTGAGCTATTCGGGTTCGCGACTACCCTCCTCTAGGACTGTAGTGGGTATTTTGATTGGACACTAGTAACTAGTGTGACGTCCTTTCGTTGGTGCAGACTGAATTCCCAGAAGGGACATGAGTTCCTCCAAGGCTGCAGATACGCCTTGCTGACTGACTGGTGAGTGCCAACTAGCACGAAACTTAGGTGGTGTTCAAGGTTTCCTGCCCACTAATTACCTCCAACCAACTAATATCCTCAAATCAATGTACACCGTGATGGCAAGCCACATACAATGGTGGCCACATTGCGAGCCTAACTGATAGAATTCAGTATGCACCAAAGAAAGGACTAAACACATCACACTAGTCACTGACTGGTGTACAATCAAAATCATATTTTGTCTCAGCTATGATGGAGTACTACAGTAAATACCTCCAAAAGTGTACACCCTCACAAGATTACTGACTAATCATCTGACCGAGAAACATTTTTATCAGAAAACGCAAATATGCATATTTAATAACGCTATTTAAGAAAAAATACTAACTGTCTTGTCTTACCATAACTTTTTCAATGTATTTATGTTGAATAATACTGACATTTCCACACGGACATTTATTGAAATGAAGTGTATTATTTAAATAAAGTACAAATTTTGATAAATACTTATTATTATCACCAATAAAGAATTTAATTGTTTGAATCCAAGATCCATTTCTAGTTGGTTTGTTTAAATTAAAAGTTATTACTAATGGAGCGTTTTTTGAATTTTCAATATGTTCAATGTTGGCTGTTAAATTGAACTTAACTGTAACTCTATAATAACTGGCAAATTTTAGAAAAAACTACAAAAAGATGAAATAAATAAAAATAAAAACAATTCGTGACACAATCTGCGTGTGATACAGATTTCTAATGAGATTTTGATGAATTAAATTTTAACTATTCAGTCAGAAAGACTCTTTACAAAGACCTACTCTGTGAAATGGAACAGACACTTTCGATATTTGAATAGTTCGAATTCACTGAATATGCATTGGAATATTTTGTAACTAAATATGACAAGTTAAACACACCACCATTCTTCTGTACTCAAATTTTCCTTAAGAAGGCAAAATAGTTTGAGCAAAGAATAGTCTTTCTCATCATGTCCTTATTAAGTTCTACATCACTCTGCATGGTTAAGCAAGAGAAGAGGTAAGAGGTCTACTCATAGTTCTGCTTTCGCATACCTTGTAGATACTAGATATAACCTTGATGTTAACGGGATTTAAAGTTATCTACTGTATCCTAAATAACCTTAATTTTGCATTACGAGTTCTCCTACATACAATTGAAGTCAAAATAATCCGCTAGAAGATGAGGAACCGGCGGATTTCGAATAAATTCATACAAACTGATTGACTGACTGGTTTTATTGTAGACCTTTGCACAGATGTTCACCAGCTTCAGCTGCCACGCTCCCTCCATGTAGCACACAAAGCAGGAGACGAAAGTATAGAGAGGTTCAAAAGAGGTAGAGAGATGATAAACAGACGTGTGAGTAAGGGAAAAAGAATAGTAATATACAAGAAGAAGAACAGAATTTTACTGGATATCATCAGTCAGAAAAAGTTACTGCATCTGCACCAGCTGTTGAGAACAATTTTAAGCCATATCACTAGGAAGGACAAAAGACGATTCTACGGCAATCTGGCCACTGAAGCTGAGAAGGCAGAAGGCAAAAGGGACCTAAGGACACTATATCAGATAACCAAGTCTCTATCCGGGAAGAGATCAACACAAGCAAAACCTATAAAATACAGCCAAGGGAACACAATTACCAAGGAAGAAAGACAGATTAAACAATGGGCGGATCACTTCAAAGGACTCTTGAACCGACCATCACCTGCAACCCGTCCAGAAATACCAACAACAGCGCGCACACAACTGCATGTTGACACCAATCCTCCAATGAATGCTGAAGTCTTGAATGCAATCAAGCTTCTAAAAGTTGTAAAAGAAGCTGGACCAGATGTAATACCCCCTGAAGCACTGAAAGCAGACACAGAGACGACAGCAGACATACTGACTACATTATTGCAAAAGGTCTGGAAGGAGGGAAAGGTGCCTACTGACTGGATGAAATGCTACCTCGTGAAACTATCAAAGAAGGGCGACTTAGGACTCTGCCAGAACTGCCGAAGAATGATGCTCCTGCCGACGCCAAGTAAAATCCTGAGTCGCATCATCCTGGAGAGATTAAAGGACGCACTGGATGCAGAATTCCGACCAGGACAAGCTGGATTCAGTAAAGGGAAATCATGTACTGATCAAACTGCAACTCTATGCATCATCATAGAAAAAGCATGGAATGACAATCAAACCTGTACCTCAACTTTATAGACTTTGAAAACATCTTCAGTAGACAGTGATGACCGAGAAGTAATTTGGAAACTACTCGAGTACTACGGCGTACCCCAAATATTCATCAACCTTATTCAACAGCTGTACGACAACGGCACATGTCAAGTGATCCACAACGGAAAACTCAGCGAGGCGTTTCGAGTAAACACAGAAGTCAGACGAGGCTGGCTGCTTATTATCACCAATGATATTCCTAATTGTGATGGACTGACTGGATTATGCGTCAGACAGAGGGGAACGAGCAGACAGGGATATCCTGGACCGACCAACGTGCAGAACCTGGAAGACCTGGATTTCGCGCGGCGATGATTTATGTTTTATGCCACTGTCACAAAATCGAAGACTTACAAGCGAAAACTGATCGACAAACTTGTCGAAGAAGCAGCCGGCGAAGACAGGACTCCAGGTGAACATAGACAAGACAGAGGTTGTGAAAATGACCAACCAACAACAACAGCAGCAGCAACATCCAGTGTCAATCACCATCAGTGGGAGGGATTTGAAAGAGGTCACTTCATTCACTCACTTATCTAGGGAGCATTGTTTCAACTACAGGCAGTCGGAACGAACGAGGATGTCAAATCGAGCGAGAATCGGGAAGGCTGGCGAGCAACACATTCATCAACCTGAAACCAATCTGGAAATCAGCATCACGTCACTCAGTATCAACAACAGAATTCGGTCAGATTTTCAATACAAACGTCAAGTAGTCAGTTCTTCAATACGGATCAGAAACTTGGCGGGCGGGTCACAAAGAATATTTCCAACAGCCTGTTGCAGACCTTTATCAACCAACAACTGTCTTCGCTCTATACTGAAGATCAGATGGCCGGAAAGAATCACCAACAAGGAACTATGTCTGGGAACAAACAAAACAAGAACCAGTCGCCCGCCCAACAAATATGCAGGAGAAAGTGGAGATGGATTGGACACTCGCTGAGGAGGCCGCTGGGTGACATCGCCCGCGCGTCAGGCCATTGCCCGAAAGGGAAGAGGCGAGTGGGTCGTCAGTGCAACGGTGACACGGAGGAGATCGTGTGAAGAGGAGTTGAAAGAGTATGGACTGACATGGATGCAGGTGAAAAGTACAGTAGAAGACAGAAGCAAGTGGAGACCTGAAGTTGGAGCCCTATGTTCCACTACAAACCCAAGGGAACAATAATAACAATATACCAACTGTCTCCAGCCTTCATTGGTTCTTACCATCTCGAAGACCTCAACTAGTCAGGAAGTCTACACCTCCCTACGTGGCTGGCTGGCCAGCTTAAACTAACTGTTATGGATTTCACTGACTGATGAAGTCATTTTTTGGTTTCACCACTATGTGCTAGCACTTTTTCAATCTGATATATCCTTTGTCAGTCAGCTAACGATGCCGATTGTTGAGGAAGGCGACGGCTAGAATAGACATGTGTAACACACGTCTTAACCATCTGAAACGATGCAGCTGCTTCACAACCTCGTCGATTAATTTCTTCTCCAACCTACCTAGCACTTGACCGATGTATAAATTCAGTATTACTTACTTTATTATACCACTTGACACGGGAGATTCGCTGAAATTTGTGTAATATGTATCAACTCATTTTTCGGAATCAGGCTATCAGTATTAATATAAAAATCCACAAGCCTCTACAACATGCATATGCCAAAAGTTCTGTTAGACTTACTATCGAGCTATTCGTATCATTTCTTGTCTGTCTGTCTATCAGCCGTAAGTAGTTCTGTCATGAATGAATTCTGTCGTGGTATGTTACTCTTTGATGATTTGATATCTTACTTAGTCTAAGTTATTACAATCGTATATCAATTTTGAGCTGCATCGCTTCAATCACAAAACAAGAATTGTCTACATTTATCTTTGTCTAAACATCACATACTTCACGAATCGACGCTATATTTCTTTCGGATCATCTTGTACTGATACCAAGTCCAATCATACTTTGATTGTTTAGGTTAGAAAGTTGTCTGAGTAGCTTAACTTGATATGATTATGGGCGGCAATAAATTGTGCTCGAAACGTCATCAGTAAAGATTACTGTATAATAATAAGAGACTGTACTCTACTGGTCACTAGTTCTTAGTATATTTTGAGGAGATCTATTCACAGAAGTCATCAATGAGTTGGAGACTGATACTCGGACTAAGATTTGTTTTTATGTAGGGTTTTACATTCATTTAAATTTTTAAAATTCGACACGAAGGAACATTTATTAGAGAGATCATTGAAAACTACAGAGTACGGAAGAGTCCCGAGTTAGGATGAAACCACTGGCTACTTTCCAATAATCTCTCTCTAATTGATGTTAGTTAGCAACAAAACCTAACAAGTGAAATTGAATTTCAGAATTTCATCATAAACTGACATCGGTTAGAGAAATATTGGAAAACTACTCAGAGAGTACTAGACAGCCAGCCATTTCGTCTTAGTCTAGGGCTCTTCAACAGTGCACACCCACCGCTAGGGTTCGAAACCAGCTAGCTATGAATACTTGCCAAAAGATTCTGTCTTATATTTCAAGATCTATGGACAACACTTAAGGCTGAAGGCATGTATAAGTCATGCGTCGGTGACACAGTGGTTAGGACTCTCGCCGACCATGCACAGGGTTCGAGGTTCTATCCCCTACCGACGCACACCTGATATCTATGGTCGGCCTGCAAAATTTGGGCTACCGATATCACATGCTGAAAATTCCATACTTGTACCAAAAATACGGTGTGGAATCAAGCTGTAATCAAAAATAAATAAAAATAATAAATGCTAAGTAGAGATTCTTTCGAAAACTGTCATTCGTCTGTGTAACACAAGCGATTTTTGAATTAATTCATTGATTTTCATTTTTATAAAAGATTTTGTATTTCTCGGTGAATGAAATACTTAACGATATCGCTGGTTTTATCGACGTCTCGCTATTTAAGGCTGATGCTAATAGCTTTATCAAAGTAGTATCACTAACCAGAATTTAAAAAATCCACTCAGCTTATATATAATAACTGATTAAAAATGCCCATTAAAATTTTCAAGAGAATGGATACTGAACAAAGAGCACTCTTTTCGATAACGTTATCGTCAGCCTCTACAGTTATGCATACATTATAGTGAATGAATGAATTAGTGTTATGAACAACATCAATGTTATTGAATTGAATTTTTTGATTTTCCCGTCGATTGATTGGACCGAAGTGATCGGTCTCAGGTTGACATGTCGGCTTCTTGTGCAGATGCTTCGACGATGTCTGGGTATTTAATTAGTATACAATTGGTGGATGGTGGCTAGCAGTGGAATCCAGGATGCGCTGAGAAATGCAGGTACATCCAGCTGACGAGTCCCAAATAGGACGAAGTGCGCATCCTGGATTCCACTGCTAGCCACCATCCACCAATTGTAAACATCAATGTCGTTTAAATAACATCGAATCAATAATATTGATAGATTACATCTGAATCGCATCAACAAAAAAATAAGCCGAATGTCAGAAGAATTAGGAAGGATAATATTACAAATTCATGAGTTTATAGTTTCTACTGAGTGCTGGCCAGGGCAATAGTAGGGGCTGGATTTGCTTCTTTTGGATACAGAGCACTGGTTGTTTGAGGCAAATTGCAATAGCCTGTGCTGTTTGCAGCCAGCGGTGCTTCGATGATTTTGGTAATTTATTTGGCACCCGGTATAATATAGAGAAGGATTCTTCTACGCTCTCTGGCTTTGTGGCCTGTTTGCACCAGATGTTCCAATATCGAGCTGTTAGTAGTTTTCACTACATCTTTACTTAGCCATGCTGGAAGATGTTCTCGAGCACGAACAATCAAGTTCCTAGAGCAACGGTCAATATATATATATATATATATATATATATATATATATATATATATATATATATATATATATATATATATATATATATATATATATATATATATATATATATATATATATATATAATAACTTGATCATCGTTCATCAGCAGTTCATCACTAAAATCAACACGGACATTAAATATGGTCAAACATGTATTCCGAAGATATGGGCCTCAACAGTTATCATTCCATATAGACCATCAAATATGTCAGATAATATCAGAAGAGTACTCACTAACCTCAACATCAGAGTGTACTTCGAAACACCAGACACATACACACACTACAAAACAACCTTGATCATGTAAAAGACCAAATCCCTAAAGATTATCTATCTAATTGTATCTATAAAATAAAATGACTGGAATGTGTGATGCGATATATATCGGACAAACATTGTTGGAGAGTAATCAAGATCAGAAGAAACGAACACCGTAGAGTGAGTCCCTGTTCAACCACCGAGAAATCCAGTTAATGAACTAGAAAAGCTTGAAGAATCATCGGTCATACGCCTACACGCTATATAATCAAGTCACAAAGTTGATTTTGACAATATTGAAATCATCATCCAGAAAAAGCATTTCAGACATCACAAAGAACGTCTAATATCATCAGAAGCACTTCAAATCAAGTGGAATTCGAATTGCCTGAATAGGAATTATGGACTAAAACAGAACTTCCCCTGGTTACAACACCCCACCCCACCCCTCCTTCCATGAAATGACAAAATCAACACGAATGTGATAAACAATTTCATAACGTAAACGCACAGGCTGCTTTTATAATTTTACACACTTAATAAATCCAACAATCTACACCTACCTGGTTTTGTTATCCTTACCGAATTGCCAACTTGACAACGCATAAATGCCCCCATGCTGGGGAACGATGATTAAGTTGTTATATATTATAAGCTGAGTGGATTTTGTAAATTCTGGTTTAATAATAACACTTTGATTAAGCTATTAGCAGCAGCATTAAACAGCGAAACGACAGTAAAAAACACAATAATATCGTTTTGTTTTTCACTGTTTCATTGGGAAGTACAAAATTCTTTATTATAATGAATATCACATACCACCCAATGCCCAAATTTTTTTCAAACTTTTAAAAGTCAACTTGGTTTGAAGACATCTAATTCCCTGACGAGTCATGAAACTGTAATCCTATAACCGAATATTTCTGGAAATGAGGTTCCACAGGGTCACTGGTGCCCACTGATAAAGAATTTCAGAATAGGAAGAAAAAAATCAGCTGCTCAGTGTTCCTTAGTCACCAAGATTTCTCTAATCGATGTCGGTGCATGATGATGTCTGGATTGAAATCAATTGAAATACTGGAAAACCCAAAATATCTAAATTCACTCATAAATAAACCAATCGAAATATGTGAGCATCGAACTGCTACTTCATGAGGAATGAGCCGAAAAGACAACTGACAAGATTGACAAGCTAAAGCAGAAGCTAGAATTCGTCGGTTATTGGATCCGGTCCCAGTAGCTTAATAATGGTCTACGAGCTCGTCTTGTAAGTAGAAATTGGGTGTGGTTTCGAACCCTGGAGGTGGGTATGTACCGGTGAAGAGTCTAAAACTAGAACGAAACGGTTGTCCAGTATTCCGAGGTTTTCTAATGGTTCTCTAACCTATGCCGGTTCATGATGCAATCCTGTATCCAATCGACTAAAATATTCAAAGCTGAGAAAAAGTGCCTTCTAAGATCATTCATGATCCGGTTTGTAAATATTTACTTAAGAAATAATAAATAAAATGCTTCTTTTTTCATTATTAACAAACTCAAACTGACTTTACAGTTATACCGCTGACATTCCAATTGCAGCATACAAGCATATCCATGAAGACTTTTCATTTTCAAAGAGAATTTTCGCTCAGTATTGTATGTAAAATAATTGGATTGTTTTATTGTTATCATTCCATTATGGCGGAGAATAGCGCATAAATTGAAATTATTATTGTTAACTGCTTTTGCACCTGAATTTAGAGGAACGAGAATAAAGGAGTTCAATAATCTTAATGGATATATCTTCATAACCTCATTGATCAACCTTCCTTCCGTGTTTAATGAACACTACGCTTAACCTTAATATTGGTGATCATATATTTTACCGTCTTATGTGTTAGAGAGAAGTCAAAAGCTTCCTGTAAAATTTGGCTAATCTGTTCATATCCTCTACTTTTAACGGCCATGTCTTACAGACGTAAAGGAGGACAGAATAAACTGCTGTGTAGCATACACCTTTTTTAATCCACAGAGGGATATCATGACTGCGTCAGAGGTGACTCATTTAGGGAAACGCCAGGCGAGCCTTTACTTATCCATGCTGAGATTATTGTTATACTGACCAGTTGTTAGGCCCGATGAGAATTTCTATATAAGCGAAATAGTCAACATATTCGGCCATTCCAATTTCATTCCACTAAGCAAGAAGTCAGTGTAGACCAATCCTGCATCATGAATGTATAGATACTTACCATCCTTTAGATGTTCCTCGTGGAACATAAGGTTTCAACGACACATCTTCACTTTCTTTTACTTTTTGTTGTTCGCTTAAGTTGACTAGCTCCGCGACTGACCATACTCTGCCATCTCCTCCTCACACGATCTCCTTTATCTCACCTTTGCACCGACAACCAACTCGTCACTCCCCCCATTTGGATTCCACTCGAGCGATGGACTGCATTGCGTTCAATGTCATTCGACGACCTCCTCAACGTATTCTCGATCAATCCATCTCCATTTTCTCCTACTTATTTTGTTGAGCAATCGGCTTTCGCCTGTTGATTTGCCCCACCGCAGGAGTTTCTTGCTAATTCTCTCTGGCTAACCATCTGATCTTCAGCATGAAGTCAACCGGCGAAGGTGATAGCTATTGATGAAAGTCTGTAACTCGTTGAAAATCCTTTTTGTGACGAGTGTGCGGTAGAAGTTCCTGACCCATAGGGATGAACTGAATGACTTCGCATCTGTGTGGAAAATCCTAATCTTGTTTTTTATGCTGGAGGAGTCAATGCAGAGGATTTCCAAATCGGTTTCAAGTTGATGAAGGCGTATCTCGACTTTCCAATTCTGTCGAGCTGGCTGTGACATCTTCATTTGTGTCGCCCGACATCCTAGCCTGATAAGTAAAGGAGGTAACTTCTGTTAAATCTCTTCCGTTGATGGTGATTGGTGTCGGTTGCAGTTGGCGGTGGTTGGCTATCTTCATCAGCTGCAGTCCTGTCTTCTCTGCACCCCTTTTATGGGTTTTCTTCTGTCTCTAAGTCTTCGAGTTTGTGTGACATTAAAGAGAAATCGTTCGCGAAGTGCGGATCTTCTTGAGTATTCTCATTAGTCAGTCCAGCGTATTCCTGTCCTCTCACTTCCATGCACAATTTGATGCATAGTCCAGTCCACCACAGTTAAGAATATATAGTCAGTGATGATAGGCAGCTGCCTCACTTCTGCATGCACTTAGAAAGCTGACTAGCTTCTCTAAGCCTTTCACCAATCCGCTGTGTCATTCGGTCTCTCCGATTCCAGCGGAGAATAATTTTGTTTGTTAAAATTTTTTGTATTGTTAATATTTTTCTTGTGCTTTCTTGAAATTTCTGTAGCACTGTGATTGGTTTTTATTGGTGTAGGGTCGCTAGTCTCACGCCCAACTCCCCGTCTTTATCCGGGCCTGGTACCGGCAAGAAAACAAGCGAGCTAGTAAACTGGGCGAGGCTAGATGTCAGAGACAGACTACTTCAAATGAATTCAAGAAACAGTTTCCATATTCATAAAGTCACAGATTACGTTCGTATTCCTCTGCTTGAAACATTGCATTCAAAGGTACAGTTTTTTGTTGCTCAATGTATCGATATGATGTTTGGGTGAAGTTAAACTTAGATATGATAGAGAAGATTTGTAGCTCAGGTAGATGATTTTCATGTGGTTTTGTTCTCTGAGCTGGATGGTTAGTTTGCGAAGCTTTCATCACCTTACTGGGTGACATCTTCAGCGCATACTTCAATTTGAAGTGAGCTTTTAGATTTCTCCACGAGTTTATTAATCATCTCTCCTGGTGACCTTGGACGTGATTGGTTGTTTGTGTGTGTTTTCACACCTTCTAGGTTACTTGTATTGGAACCGGTTGTTTCTTTGACTTGAATTTTGACCCTTTGTCTGTGAAGTTTCTTTCTTATCGGTTGATAAATTTTTTCTATCTCGATGTGTCTATTGATTGATGATTCACTGGAATGCCAAGCTTCTAAAAATTCTCTAGCATTCTTGTTGTTTCCTCTGTCTAATATTTGAACGTTGTCCCAGTCGAATTGATGTCCGTGGTTGTCTGTGTGTAGTGAAATGAGGGAGTGGATATCATGTCTTTTGACGGCTAGCTTATGTTCGTGGATACGAAGACGAAGGGGACGTCCACTTTGGCCGATGTAGTGTTTTTCGCAGTTGTTACTGTTTATTTTGTAGATGATGTTGGTTTTGTCTTCTTTCGCTGTTGAGTCTTTTGGTTGACATAGAATTGAGTGAAGCGACTTTGTTGGTTTGTGTACGACGTCAACTCCTAAAGGTTTGAAGAGTCTTGTAGTGATTTCTGAGATATCTTTTATATATGGTAAGGCAATTTTCTTTGTGTTCTCCTTGGTGGCTTTTGCTTTGGTAGGTTGGCTTGGGGGTATATGTCTCTTGATGAAATTCCGTGGATATCCATTCTTTTGGAAGACGTCCATGAGATACTTTTCTTCAGTTTTTCTTAAGGTGGGAGTGCTGCAGTGAGTCCTTGCCCTCTTGAATAGTGTTTGTATGTAACATAAGCTAGCCGTCAAAAGACATGATATCCACTCCCTCATTTCACTACACACAGACAACTACGGACATCAATTCGACTGGGACAACGTTCAAATATTAGACAAAGGAAATAACAAGAATGCTAGAGAATTTTTAGAAGCTTGGCATTCCAGTGAATCATCAATCAATAGACACATCGAGATAGACAAAATTTATCAACCAATAAGAAAGAAACTTCACAGACAAAGGGTCAAAATTCAAGTCAAAGAAACAACCGGTTCCAATACAAGTAACCTAGAAGGTGTGAAAACACACACAAACAACCAATCACGTCCAAGGTCACCAGGAGAGATGATTAATAAACTCGTGGAGAAATCTAAAAGCTCACTTCAAATTGAAGTATGCGCTGAAGATGTCACCCAGTAAGGTGATGAAAGCTTCGCAAACTAACCATCCAGCTCAGAGAACAAAACCACTTCAAAAAGAAGTTAAACTTTAAACACACCGCCAACTACTAATCAGCGAATTACCTTGAATGCACCAATCATGTGAAGGTGGCACTTTTGTGTATGGAATGCATATATTTGTCAAAAAAATGCATAAAACTGTATAAAAGTGTTACAGAGGATACCTTTCTCTCATATATGATAAAAATAGCTCTCAGTTTTAGGTTGGAGTATGAACAGAGTATAATTCCATAGTGGGTTAAATTTATTTTGATAAAGTCTCATAGTGTAATACAGTAACATTTACTGAGCAATAAACTGTGCTCGAAACGTGGTCATCAGTAAATATTACTGTATAACACACTGTGAGACTTTTTCAAAATAAATGTTACCCACAATGGCATTGTACTCTACCGCCACAGTGCACAAGTTCTATTCTTATATCAACAGAATAACTTAACCACATTCTATGCATGCAATTATTTAGGACTTCGAACCCTGACAATAACCCTAATCTTTCCTGAACCCAATCCTAACGTGAAAATAACCCTAAACTAACTGTAATCTAGCTCGGACTAACCCTAATGTCGCATTCATTAGGTTAACCGCAACCCTAACTTGTCCTTGACTTAAAGCGTAACTTAATATTTCCCAAATCTAAGTTGAAACTTGCCAGATATCTCATTTAATAGCATATAACACTTCGATGACAACATTATTTGTCAGGTTTCACTAATTTCCTCAATGAGTGTTTCAAGGTCATTGGTGCGGTCACACTTCATTGGTAGTTGGTTAATGGTGCTTAAAGTTTAACATGTTCGATTTTCGCATTTAGAAACGAGCCAATTTCCCACTTGTCCACAATGTTTAGTGTCAATGTGGAAAGCTGAGACAGAAACTATGAAAGTAGTACAATGCTTACCAGGCGTGTGAATCGTCCGGCTTGGATTCCTAGCCTAAATCCCATCTAATTTACCACCCAATAGAAAGCTTAGAAAAGAGATGAAGGCATGTGGATGTATGGCCAACTACCTCGCCTATTAAAAGGATCAATATCGACACAGAAAATCTAAAGCATAAAGACTTATTCCTATGAATTGTGATCAAGTTGGTTTATCCTATATTAAGCAAACTTACCATTTGTTACATTTTTAACAGTGTTATTATTGAAATCTTCACAAAATGAAGGTGTGAATAATTCATAGTGTATCACATGAGCACTGAAATATGGAAAATGAGGTATTAAAGATCAGAGAAAATATATAAACTGCCGAAAAATCTATATCACTTGTAAAAAATAACTCATTACAAGATTGTCTTTATTGCAAATCAGCATTAAGATGTTTAAACTATACATATTTTGATTGGCCATTAGTAACTGGTGTGATATGTCTGGTCCTTTCGTTGTTTGGTGCAGACTGAATTCTATCAGCCAGGTTTGTAGTGTGTCCACCATTCTGGGTAGCTCGCCATCATGGTGCACATTGATTTGATGATATTCGATAGTTGGAGGCAATCAGTGGGCAGGAAGCCTTGGACGCCACCTAGATTTCGTGCCGGTTGGCACTCACCAGTCAGTCAGCAAAGCGTATCTGCACTCTTGAAAGAACTCATATCCCTCTTCTGAGATTCGAACCCGCGTCACCCAGTGCATCTAATATCGTCAAACCTGACTGATAAAAATCAGTCTGCATCAAAGATAGGACTGGACACGTCACACTAGTTACTGGAGTTCAATCAAAAGTACCCACTACCGTCCTACAGGAGGTCAATCGGGAGTCTGAATAGCTCAGTGATGGTAACGTCTCTGACTGCAGTACTCTCTGGGTGACATGGGTTTGAATCTCACAATCTCATTGTGGTTGCAGATACGACTTGCTGACCAATGAGTGCCAACTAGCACGAAACCTAGGTGGCATCTATGGCTTCCTGTGGCCGATCGCACTCCAACCATCTAATTACCTATAGATAACAAAAATCAGCCCGTAATTCCAAACTAATGAAAATAAAGTTCTATCCAGACCGTGTGACCATTTAGCGGCTATGCAAAGCAACCATTATGTAATCTCGATGGTGATTGTGCATGTTACTAAGATTTTCAACTGACAGATTTCTAATCTGTTCGGAATTTAATTCGGATAACATGGATTTCTCCACATGGAAGTAGACAGACACTGAACAATCTAATAGGCAGTTATCACATCATTCACAAAAAAGACATGTTTTCCTGCTACTAATATGTGTGTGTGAGAACCTAAGCATCACTAATACTGCTTGCTAGCCAGATTGAGGCTATCGAAACACGGGATGACTATTTTACCTCGTTTGAATTCGAGTTCATCAGTAGTGCACCACTTCAAATCTGGCTAGCTACTATGGTGCTATTTTGATGTAGTTGTGTTCTCTTAGCTGGATGGTTGGTTTATTTGCGAGCCTTTAATTGACCTACTAGACAGCATCTTTAGCACATACTTCATTTTGATAAAGTGAGGTTTTAGATTTCGCCACGAGTTCACTATTAGTCATCTCTCCTACTGGGCGGCCCTGAAGGTGAGTGGTTATTTTAGTGTGTTTTCACACCCTTTAGGTTACACTCGCATTGGTACTGATTGCTTGCTTCACCTGAAGTTTGACCCTTTGTGTGTAAAGTTTCGTTCTTATCGATTGGTGAGTTGTAGCTATGTCAATGTGTGAATTAATTGACGATTCACTGGAATACCAGGCTTCTAAAATTTCTCTAGCATTCTTGTTGTTTCCTCTGTTTAATATTTGAACGTTGGCTGTCCCAGTCTAATTGATGTCTGTGGTTGTCTGTATGCATTGATATGATGGATTGGATATCATGTCTTTTGACGGCTGGTTTTGTGGTTATGGATACGAAGACGAAGAGGGCATTGTCCACTTTGGCCGACGTAGTGTTTTTCGCGGTCGCTACAACTCATATTTTGTAGATGATGTTGGTTTTATCTTTTTTCGCTGTTGAATCTGTCTTTCGGTTGACAAACGGCTGGCTGGCTGAGTGAAGTGATTTTGTTGTTTTGTGTGTGACGTTAATTCATAATGATTTGAAGAGTCTTGTAGTGATTTCTGAGAGAGATATGTTTTGTGCATGGTAGAGCGATTTTCTTTGTGCTTTCCTTGTGTGCCTTTTGATATGGCAGGTTGACTTGCGGATAGATGTTTTTCGGTGAAGTTCCTAAAACTGTGTAAACCGCAAACTGAGGATTAATTCGCAAGTTGAACATCTTGTAGTTTGGTGGTTGTATTTTGATGTTATTTGTAGAATGCAAGGATTAAACGAAGGAACATTTACTTATCAACACTTAAAGGTCTAGAAATGTTTGCAAAAATCATACAGCTGGATTACACATTACATAATTTTACAGAGAGAATAATTAAAAAATAAGTGAGTATTCAAATTGGTCACGTAATCAACCATTAAAGGTGAATTAGTCAGAGGAGATGAAAGCGTGTGGGCAGACTTGGAGCGTGGTGAAAACGTTGGCGGAGAACTGAACGCAATGGAGACGTGCGGCTGAAGCCCTATGTTCCTCTAGGAATTAAAGGAAATAATAATAGTCGCTCTTCTAGTGAGTGGGTATCCACCAAGACTGATAGACAAAAGAAACATGAAGGAAGAGAGACCTCCAGGGCCAAAAATCACAACTGTTTCGAAGAAAACTCTCTTCATGAACCTGGAATTCAAAGGGGACATCGAGGCAGAAATTCTTTCTGCTTGTCTGAAGAAGACATTTCAAGCAGCCACCTTACGTAATAACATTCTCCAGAAGATAGATAATCCATTCTAACGTTAAGGATAAAATATCGCTTTTGGCCACTTAAATGTGTATCTATCAGTTTACTTGTTTGTGTGGAGCAAAGTATATCGGCCGTACGCAATGTCAAGACCGCAAATATATTCTGGAACACTGTCCAGCTTAGCTAGCCAGTTAGAGGAGAAAAGAAGAATACTATCAGCTCGATCCTCGAACACCTTGTCATCTCCGGATATCGATCACCCCCAGATGAACAAAGCGACTTCGGATACGCCATCCATACACAGCTGAATCATTGGCTTTTCGGGATCTGGAACCGGAACTCTGCACCACATTTTTTTTTTTATTTTTGGTAACAGCTTGATTCCACACTGTATTTTTGGTACAAGTATGGAATTTTCAGCGTGGATATCGGTAGCCCAAATTTCGCAGGCCGACCATAGATATCTGGTGTGCGCCGGTGTGGGCTCGAACCCTGGACCATGTGCATGGTCGTCGAGAGTCCTAACCACTGTGCCACCGACGCACATACATTTTCTCACCCTACGGTGGCCAGAGTAATGTCCTCATTATAATTTTCCTTTTCTTATTATGTAAGCTTACTATCATTACTATTATTCTCATCACCCTTATTTTATTATCACTCTACTACTGTTTATTAACAACATTACATTTTCATACAGCTTTAACAAAAACATTTTACCGTCTTTCCACTAGTTCTTGTCCACTCTACACAACTGTATTGATTAGTCGTTTTCTGACACTTATTATGTCATACCAGTTTCTTCCTCTTTTCTAATTTCCGATTGGTCACCCCTTGTAGACTACACATTACATTACGCAATGTGTTTCCCGGGAACACATTTTACCAGTATCTGATTGGTCTTATGATTTCTTTGTTAAATATAATTCTGATTGTTTAGCTTGTGAAAAATGAATCGTCGAAAAGGCAATTTTCTTCTCTGATATGGTCTTTTTCTTATGACGCAATGTGGGAATAATTCGTTCACTGTTAAAATAATTAGGACATTGGATAACTTGTTAAGAGCTTCGTAGGAGGAAAAAACCGTCAGTTTTCTACCTTCATGGAATTATTGTCAATGTAAGAAAAGTGACTGTACGAATCTCTTCTTAACACATAGATTTGTTTTCTTCGGTGGAATTCCTATGGCTACTTTACTTCAACTTCAAAGTTAAACAGTCCATCGTAATATCTTATTCTTTTCAAACACACTCACCATAACTGAAGTATTTCATATTGTTTCAACCATGATTTTAATCGCTTTACTTTATTCAAAGGTATTATTGCATTAAAGCTTTGCATACTTTTATTATGGTTTATCTGAAAGAGAAATCTAACTTATGAAAGAAATTATATCAAGAAAAAAAGTAAAACAAAAACTATTCGATTTTTCAAATCCTCAAACTATCTGAATAAATTTCAGTTCACTGTTGTCAACAGATAACAGAAGTTAAAATTCACGGGCCATTGGATTAAGTGAGTCCCTGTGGCTTAATGGTCAACGAGTTGGCTCGCCTTGTAACCAGAAGATCCTGGTTTCCAACCCTCTCGGGGGGGGGGTGTACTATTGAAGAGTCCCAAACTAGATTGACGAAACAGCTGTCCAGTTATGCAGTGGTGCTTTTCCAATGGTTCTCTAACTGATATCAGCTCATGATGAAGTCCTCTAACCAATCAAACTAAATCCGAATACTCGAAGATAACGTTTTATTTATTTTTAAGTGTTATTTTGCAGAGGATTCCATGAATACCAAGTTAAATCATGAACTGACATCATTTAGAGAGGTAGTGAAAAAACAGGAAGTACTGAATAACTTTCTCACTATAGTTTGGGAATTTTTCACAGTACGCAGATATGACCTCATCCGTAGTGGACAGATTCCAGAACCTTCATGTTAAGAGATGAGTTCACTGCCCATTTAGCCGCTGGGACGGCATCCAATGGTTCATGGATCCTAACTTCTGCCAGTTTGCGGCGTGTAGCTTACTAGTGACTGAGCGCGGGATGATGGTGCCTGGAGTTCTATAGAAAATTCGTGACCAGTGACGTCGCCCAACTTGGGAATGAGGACAAATACTCTCTGATGACGTTGGTGAACGACTGCGCTGTATTCGCTAGGTTCTCAGTAGTGAGAATGATCAGCGGCCTTGGTTGTAACTTGAAATTCTTAGGTATGATCAACATTGTTATCACTGGTGAGTAATGCTGAGGCACCCAAACTCGGACAAAGCAGCTGTCCTTTACTCCTTGGTGTTTGTCAGTTCTTGATCTAACTAGAGGTTATGTATTGTTCTACCATTCAGTGACTTCTTAATTGTCTACGAGCTCGTTCGCCTTGTAACCAGAAAGTCGTAGGTTGGAACCCTAGCGGTGGTTGCGTACCTCTGAAATATTCAAAACTAGGACGAGACAAGTGGCTGTCCAGTATTCCCAGACTGGTTTCTCAATGGTATTCTAACTGATGTCAGTTCATGATGAAATCCTAAAACTAAATTGATTTCTATGCCATGCACTTAGACTCAACAGACTGAACTTTTTTGGTTGAATCCAAGGCGGAAAATTGAAAAAGAAGGACAACTGTGGCAAACTCCCTCCCCTCCCCCCCCTTCCAAATGCAGTTCATTGTCCATAACTAACTATTAAGAAGAATGAACATTGACAAAATTTGCAATTATTCATTCACACTTGTAACTTTGTGCTGATATATTCCCAGGTTAAGCTGATCAGCCTCATTAAGGTGTATATGATTCCTTGATATTACCATTATTACAAATTAAAAGTTACTTTTTACACAAGAGATGACTCGTATGGTGATGGGTGTTGAGTTTTCAAGTGTCAATCTGATGAGTCCAAAACAGGATGAAACGTACATTCTAGATTCCAACTTCCTCTACCATTAAACAAATGACAAGATTTGTATTTAAGTTAAGAAATCACTAATGATCCATATGCACATGTAGTGTGTACTACTGACAAGATCTATATGTATTGCATATCTAGCAGAGCTCTCCTTTCTTGGTCGAACTGGACAAACACCCTATGACAGGTCATCCATATCGGTGCCATGCTTACCGTGGACGCCCGATCAATTCGAGTACCCATATGCCGGGACTATCAGTCCCCAAAAGTTCTGCACTTTGTGGAGATAACCTCTTTTGAGGAGGGTTGCCCAGGTCGACTAAGGAAGAACAACCTCTCTGTCTATATACTACTTATCAGTCTTGTCAGTAGCACGGGCCACACACATGATAAAATTTGACTAACTAATACTTAGTTAGGCATAGTTTCATGCGATTTTTGGGGTAAGCCAACTATTTTCATGGAGCTCTTGTGTAGTAAAGTAGACCAGCCATAACCAGAGAATGCTTTACACATGGATACAACAACAGATCCCAACATGGTTCCACAGGGGAGGAAGGGTGTGAGAAGCTCTGTTCTAAAACGCATTAGGTCAGCTTCTGTCACTATCATCTCCGTCCTTGATTTTAAGATAACCTACCGAATTCGTGCTAACTTCCCGCGTTTTCTTCGTCCCATACATCTAAAAACAGTGGAAACCTTGGCCATATGTGAATTCAAGCCAGATCTTTGTGTATAAAAGAAGTACGCATAGTCCCTATTTCCATTAGCTGACATCAATTTAGAGAACCACAGAAAACCAATAGAGAGAGTACTGAAAGGCGATTCCCTCTTAGTTTGGAACTCTTCAGCAGTCCACCCCCACCAGGGTCGCAACAAAGTATCTTCCGGTTACAAAGAAAGCTAGCAGACCATTCAGTTGCTTGAACGTTATCCAGTAACTGGCGAAAATAGATATAGGCAGATTTTGATTGGCTGCTGGCTAGCTGGCTTCCTATTGGTCTAAAATATAAGTTAAAGCCGTAATCTTTTTATTTTGACACGGAAATTTACAGTCAGTATGATTTAGGGCTTACCTTACTATAATATAATGGCGTGTTAATTTTTTCGGTATGAGTTTGGTGTGATAGTCACAGGTTATTTGGATACATTGGTGGTGTTTAAAGTACATTAAGATGTATGAGAATGTCTGGTAACTGAATATAAATCAACAATAATTTCGATGCATTTATTTTAAGTCCAAAATAGGATGTATGCATTTTTGATTACTAGGCGAATAAAATTTAACTACAATTTCTTATCAATTTAATGTATCCTTAATTAGTACATACAGATAAATGTATGTATTAACTAATCTACTTTTTTAAGTTGTCAATTCAATGACCTTTGGGATTTGTGCATACTAGGTCAGCATAAATCAAGTAAATTTCCCTTCAAATGGTTGAAAGCGACAGTTTAAAGCATACTTTGGTTGATTATTTCGTGATGAAAGCAATTTGGAGTCAGTTATAAATTACACTGATCTGCGTCTAATTCATACGTTTTTCAGCTGAGGATTTCCGGTTCATAGCATACCCTGAATAACCGTGATTAATACGATTTATCACTTAGACCGCAGCACCACCAAGCTTAAAACAGTTCTAAATTTATTCTAACCGATTCCTAGATAATGCCTTTTTGTGGTAACTGAAGATCTTATTTACCCACTATGTTCTGAAATGGCACAGGTCGTGCTTAAAAAAACAGCTGCGTGCTGAATCAAAACTTTCCGCTCTGGAGTAACGCTAGTCCATGCTTAATATGTCCTGTCAGGGCTGGAACAACGTTGATAAGCACACCCAGTAGGTTCAACTTAGTGCCACTCATGCTGAAAAACCAGCGCACAGTTTCACTGTCAAACTATGGCAAAACAGCAAGGGAATTTACTGTTACTATTATAAGCATAGTCTATGTTACTATATTAGCATAGTATACGTTAATTAGCTCAGTGATTGCAGGTTCACCATAATCCTTGACTACCAACATAATAACTGGGAACTTCAGGCTAAAAATATGCTATATAGTAGCATCCAGTGAAAAAACTGACCTACACACTGCGAAATGAGCAAAACATTCAGAAAAACCTTTCAAATTCAATGAAAAACGAATTCACGAAAACATATTACTAGCCGACGCAGGAACTCATCATGACCTAGAAACTGACTGTAGCCTCTTTCGTAACTGGCCTATGAATTCCAAATTCTACCAATTTATCTGATATTCGCCCGTGATTGACTACAGGATGAAGTTGGCTGAAGTTCCAGTGAGAATTCGCAACCAACAGGATCCACCAGGTCGGACAAATACTAGCCAGTGACACCGGCTGATAATCGCGCTAAAATCATGAGTCAGTAGAAGTTGAAATTCACTCGCCAATGAATCAGTCTCCAGTGGCTAACTGGTCTGCAAGTTCACCTCTCAACCAGAAGGCTCTGATTTCGAATCCCTGTGGGTGAGTACTGCTGATGAGTCCAAAGCTGGGACGAAACAACTGTTCAGCAATCCCTGATTCTCAATGATTCTCTAAGTGATATCAGTCCACTACCGAACTTGAAACTTTTGAAAATCCTACAAAGCAACTCTTAAAACTATTAATTTAAATGTAAATTCAAGCTTACCGGAATTTCATTGGGCTTTATTCTAAAATTCATATAAGTCTCTAAAGGATTTTCATTTTCACCATCAGTATCTAAACATGACAGAAAACAATATACTGAAATGTTTAGATGTGAAATTTATGCAGGCATAATTATCTCAAGGATGAATCGGTGATGTCTAGCAGACTGTATATACCTCTTATCCTTGCTGGAGATATTGTCACCCATTAGAGATAGAGTTATATTCAATCAGACCAAATATACTCCTAGAATTCTACCGCTAACCAAAACCAATCAAATAAAACTGTGTTTAGTAGTAATTTGTTAGGTGGTGACTAACAGTGTGGAGTGAGCAGGGTACGCATTTCGTCTCATTCGAAACTTGTCATCTAGATGCATCTGTCATCCCCAGTAACTTATAGTATTCTCAATGAGATATGAAAACAGTACCCTATTGTTTCAGATGTCGAAGTGTTATCCACACCGTCCACTTGAGCCACGAGATCCACCTCTTCTACGACGGTAATCAGTTATTAATTGTTTTTTTTAATTGCATTCTGATTTTCCTACTGATTGAATGGACCAACATGTTCAGCCCCACTTGACATGTCAAACAGTAGATATATCTGAGGCTTAAAATAGAATAATTCGGTAGACTAGCGATGGAAAACAGGATGTGCATTTCATACTTTTTGAACCTCATCAGCTAGTTACCATCAGACAAGATAACGTTATTTTAATCTTCAGATATCATCGAATCCATCGTACTAGGAGCTGAAAATTTCTTTTGGATAAATAGTACAGTACCATTCAGTGTGACAGTGAATATCTACTTGACATAATTCCATATTAATATATGTGTAAAACTTGGGCACTGTGGTATTAAGTAATTCCATATTAGTTTGATTATTAAATGTATCACACAGTGAAACAGTATTGTATACTGGATGACGTTTCGAACACAATTTATTGTTCATAATCATATCAATTTTTGTCACACGACTTCGAGATTTGATTTTTATAGTTTTCTCTGTCTTCTCCTATTTGTTGTATGGGCAGAAGAATTTTCCATATATCTGGGACAGGTGTTGAATCATTCCTATTACATGTATTTGCAGTTGATTCGATAAATAAAGCTTCTGTTATCAATCTCTCTCTATACCCTGTGAGATTAGATTTTAAAACTGTCATCCTATCCCATCCTATTGTATGGTTGTGTGTGACTGCATGTAATGCTATAGCTGAACTATCCTCTAGATTTCTTATCTTATTCAGGTCAACTAATCTAAATTTTGCTAGGTTTTTATGTTCGGCTAGTCTGACTGACTGCCCCTGTTCTACTAGTTTGACCTATGTATTTGACCTCACAATCATTGCAGGGTATTAGATAAACTAAATTGTTTTGTTTTAATGGCTCTACAGGATCCTTTAACCGACAAAGCTTGTTTCTAATTGAGTTTGTGGGTTTGAATGCCACTTTTATTCCTGCCTTGTTAAGAATTCTGCGTAAGGCTTCCGAGGTTCCTTCTTTGTATGGAATTATTGTTGATGATTTACATTCCTTATTGTTGGTGTCGTTATTAATATTATCATTATTATTATTATTATTGTTATTATTATTATTGTTATCGTTATTATTATTATCACTATCTCTGTTATCCTTCTTTATTTTATTTTTACATTTACTTACATATTTCTTGACTAATTTATCCGGGTAATTATTAAGTTTCAAGGCTTCTTTTATGTGTGTCACTTCCTGTCTTAGATTTTCCTTGGTACCACTTAGTTTTTGTGCTCTCTGTCATTTAAACATTTCACTAGTCCTATTTTTACTGACAGATGACAGGATGATCGAAAGTCTAAATATCTGTTTGAATGTGTGGGTTTTCTGTAAATACTAGTGTTTAGCTTCCCATCTTCTTTCCTTTTTACGTTGCAATCTAACATTGGAAGTTCCCCTAATGTCACAGGGTATAGGGAGAGATTGATGTCAACAGAAGCTTTGTTTATCGAATCAACTGAAGAGAATACATGTAATAGGAATGATTCAACACCTGTCCCCCGGGATATTTGGAAAATTCTACTGCCCATACAACAAATAGGAGAAGACAGAGAAAACTATAAAAATCAAATCTCGAAGTCGTGTGACAAAAATTGATATGATTATGAACAATAAATTGTGTTCGAAACGTCATCCAGTATACAATACTGTTTCACTGTGTGATACATTTAATAATCAAACTAATATGGAATAATTCCATATTAATTTGTTAATTAGATGTATGACTCACAGTGAGTGAAACAGTATCATTATTATTTACTGAATGACACCGTTTTGAACACAATTCATTATTGTTCATGATCATATCATCAATTATAATCACACACGATCTCGAAACTTCAGTATTTTAGTTTTCTTTGTTCTGTCCCATTTGTCGTCGTCGGGGGTAGTAGAATTTTCCAGATGTCCAGATGAGTGGACAGGTGTTGAATCATTCCTATTCCACGTATTCTCTTTTAGTGGATTCGATAAACAAAGCTTCTGTTATCAATCTTTCCCTCCCTCCACCCCGCTGTGACATTAGATTTAGAAAAACTGGGAAGTTAAACACTAGTGTTTGTCCTGGAAACCCACACATTCAAACAGATATTTGGACTTTCAATCATCCCGTCATATGTCAGTAAAAAATAGGATTGGTGAAATGTTTAATCACTAAGGCATAAGAATTAAGTAGTACCAAGGAAAATCTAAGCACAAAAATGAGGCATATACGAGAAGCTTTGAAACTTATTTAATAATTACCCTGATAAATTAATCAGGAAGTATATAGGAAAATGTAAAGATAAAATTAATAATAATAGTAGTAGTGATAGTGACAATAAGTATAAAATTAATGACGACATTCATGTCAAACATACGCAGGATAATGATGACCCCATCAGTAGTACTTCCACACAAAGAAGGAATCTTGGAAACCGTACAGAGAATTTTTTAACAAGGCAAGTGTAAAGGAACTTAACCCTAAGTTCCTATTATTATCTCGGAAGACACTCGAACCGAAAATTACCGAGTACGATATTGACCCTAATGCCAAGAAGAAGTTGTATTGTTCTGTAGTCAAAGTCAAAATCCTCTGTACAAAGTCAAAAAATAAATTATTGAATTGAATTTTTGATTTTCCCGTCGATTGATTGGACCGAAGTGTTCGGTCTCAGGTTGACATGTCGGCTTCTTGTGCAGATGCTTCGACGATGTCTGGGCATTTAATTTGTATAGAATTGGTGGATGGTGGCTAGCAGTGGAATCCAGGATGCGCATTTCGTCCTAATTGGGACTCGTCAGCTGGATGTACCTGCATTTCTCAGTGAGTGATGATGTTCCCACCGAAGCTCGAAGCCTGGATTCCACTGCTAGCCACCATCCACCAATTGTATTCAAAAAATAAATGTTTTACAAGTAATGTATTGTGCTTTTTTATTCGTATTCTTTCGTCTTCTTCTTCCAACTTGTACACGATTGAATCATTCGCGCCTTCGATCTGCCCGCCAATGGCCACCAACGCCAACGAACCAACGTTCAATGTTCGTATTCATTTACAGCAGGTATAAACGTGACTGGCATTCAAACCACCCACAAACTCAATTAGAAACAAGCTTTGTTGGTTAAAGGATCAATCCTGTGGAGCCTTTAAAACAAAACAATTTAGTTAATCTAATACCCTGTCTGCAGTGATTGTCAGGTTAAATACATAGGTCAAAGTAGTAGAACAGGGGCGGCCAGACTAGCCGAGCATATTAACCTAACAAAATCTAGATTAGTTGACCCGAAGAAGATAAGGAATCTAGAGAATAGTTCAGCTATAGCACTCACTATATGCAATCACACGCAACCATACAATAGGATGGGATAAGTTGACGTTTTGAAAATCAAATATAACTAACATGATGGAGGGAGAGATTGATTACGGTAGCCTTGTTTATCGAATCAACTACGAACCAACACATGTAATAGGAATGATTCAACACCTGTCCACCCAGATATGTGGAAAATTGTACTATCCCAACAACCACAAATAGGAGAAAACAAAGAAAACTATAAAACTCAAGTTTCGAAGTAGTTTGTTTACGATTGATGAAATGATTATGAACAATAATGAATTGTGTTCGAAACTGTGTCATCCAATAAATAATAATACTGTTTCACTCACTGTGAGTGATACGTCTAATAAATAAACTAATATGGAATTAAAACAATTAGTCCCTTTGATAAATTTGAATAAGGCATTAAGAAGACAAATTTTGCGAGATGATATCATTTCGTAGTTTCTTTACAACCGCTTTACAACTAACATGGTTAACAATGAATAAAATAAAGTTCATGAAAATTACTCAGTTAAATAAAAACAAAAGTACATACTAATGACCAATCATATTAAGATAGGTCATGTAGTCCAGGGTAGGCGAAGATTGAAGTCTATTGATTTTTGTATACACAGTTTAGGCTGTATGTGATTAATCCAAAGTGCTTCCATCACCTTAAATAACCTTGAATTAGAGTTATGTGAAATAATTGTGAAACAGTCATTAATATTGATTTTGTGACCAGACATTAATAAGTGTTTTGCAATGGATGATGCTGGATTTCTATTAAGATTAATCGCGTTAGGATTTTCAGTATGATTTACTAGCCATTTTGGAACATGTTCTTTTCAACGACCAAATTGGAACATTCTGTTAATTCTACCTATATAGGTGTCACCGCAGCTGCAGGTGAACTTGTAGATACAGTTTGAAGTAGAGTCCACAGAATTTCGTCCTTTAATCGTAGGTACAGGGATCGAAAATGTTCGGCAAGTGAGAAAAAGAGATGCCGCGTAGAATGTGCGTTTGATGGCTGACCGAAGTCTTTGAGCTAGCTGTCAACTGCATAATCTGGTCGCCCTTGAATGGTAGATTAATAAAGATGGCTTTCTTTCGTACAGAAGCTATCTTTTCAAGATGTGGTCTATCCTTACCGTGACAATTGATGAAGTTTTCTGGATAACCATTGGCTAGCAAAACTGAATGTATATGTCGAAGCTCATCCATCAATGTGTCACTCGTACATATTTTTCGAGCCCTTGAGAACAAACATTTCACCAGGGGACGTTTATACTGGATAGGAACAAAACTGGTAAAATGAAGATATTGTCCACTCCACGTCTGTTTACGAAAAATAGAGCGCTGAATCGTTCCATCATTTCTCCTAGTCATAGTAATATCCAGGAAACCGAGTTTGTTATTGGATTCTAGTTCGGAGGTCACTCGAATATTTGGATGGATATGATTAAATAGGGTGATAAAGTTTTCAATAGATTTGCTATTATTACTGATAATAAGAGTATCATCTACATAACGTTTGTAAAGCATAAATTCTCCAAGCATATGGAATTACTAACTACCATAGTGCCCAAGTTTTACACATATATATGAATATCTACTTGACGATTTCTATTAACACGATGTGTTAAACTGTTTCACGAGAATGTAAGAAAGAAAGACAGAAACAGCACGAATCAAAAGTACTAGTTTACTGTTCAACAATAAGTATGGAGAAAATATTACTCAACTGATCAGAGATCAAATAACAACCTTACTCATACATACATCAAAACAGCGTAAACTGGTAAATGTTTTAAAAAAATTACACGTAATATGGAGAGAATAGAAAGAAAATAGTACTACAATAGACACCACCTCCATCACCACTACGTTATTTAATAAACGACTTCAAAGAGCTACTCTAAATGTCTCTAATCAATAACTCTTAAATGATAAACACTTAAATCCACGTATTTTGTCCCTGATTATTTAGTTAAGATCACAGATTCGAAAGTTTGTAGATCATTTTTACAACTATTATTGAGTAATTCATATGAACTGTGATCAATATTTGACCGGATAGTTTCAAAATAATTGAGCGCCGAGTGAGAAGTAGGCATTTGTAAAAAAAAAAATTATATTTGTAAAATCTCAGCGATATTGAAATGAGTAATTCTAACGTTTCTTGTGTTCGCCAATCTGGTCCAAACTTCTTCAGGGGAATTAAAACGAAATTAACATAACAGAGGTTTATATATAAAAGGAACATCTTTTGTTTTTGGTAGTTCATGATTGGACAAAGTTTCACAAACAAGAGATGTTCCTTTTATATATAAACCTTTGTTATGTTAATTTCGATTAATTTCCCTGAAGAAGTTCGGACTAGATTGCCGAACGAAATGTTGGAATTAATTATTTCAATCAATCTCGCTGAGATTTTTACAAATATAATTTTATAAATGTTATTGAGTAAGCTGTAGTTTTCCTTAGAACAATAGTTTAAATCAAAACAAGATTTTGAGCGAACAATTGTTTTCGATAACTTCTTCTTCAGGCTCTACAGTTGGTTATAAATCCATGAATAATAGAGTACATATAGCCAGTAAAAGCAAATGAAAATAATATCAGAAACTGTATTGGGGTGCATGTGTAAGTTGAGGCGATAGTCCATTAGTTAGCATAGTCAATTAAATGTGTATAGGGTGTTTAGTCAGAAAAATGTGATGAAGTGTGAATGAACAATTAGGTGATATAGTGTAGTTTTATAGTTAACAGAATACAAGTGTCCTTGGGGTTAGAAAATGCGATAACCACAAAATACATGTAAAGACACGTTAAAAATGAGGCACTGAATGTGAGGGCTGACCGATAATGTCTAATGATAAAATAAAGAGGCTAAATTGTAAATTGTAATAAAATGCTACAGAATTGGTAGGTTTAGTATAAAATCATAAAGGTTGACAAAATAAGGGTAACAATGAGGTGAAATAAACTGGGTGGAGAAATGGATAATAAAGACATGATATCACAAAATAATAATAATGATAATAATAGTACGAAAAGATTATGATCTTGGTGACCTTATAGTGGGCCAGGGTAGACAAAGTGAGTGAATAAGTTTTTTCTGTACACACAGATCTGATCTTTCTCTATTAATCTCTAAAGCCTCAGTTATGGCTAGGAGGCGTAATCGTGTGCCTTTGGGGAGATTGTTCGGTACCTGATACGCAACTGTAAATGACTCATCTACTTTGATGCTATGTTCGCTATCCACTAGATGAGACAGAATTGCACTATTAATTGATTTGGTTGTTCTTTTCCCAAGCCAAATCAATTAATAGTGCAATTCTGTCTCATCTAGTGGATAGCGAACACAGCATCAAAGTAGATGAGTCATTTACAGTTGCGTATCGTTATCATTAGACATTATCGGTCAGCCCTCATATCCAGTGCCTCATTTTTTAACGTGTCTTTACATGTATTTTGTGGTTATCGCATTTTCTCACCCCAAGGACACTTGTATTCTGTTAACTATAAAACTACACTATATCACCTAATTGTTCATTCACACTTCATCACATTTTTCTGGCTAAACACCCTATACTACACATTTAATTGACTATGCTAACTAATGGACTATCACCTCAACTTACACATTCACCCCAATACAGTTTCTGATATTATTTTCATTTGCCTTTACTGGCTATATGTACTCTATTATTCATGGATTTATAACCAACTGTAGAGCCTGAAGAAGAAGTTATCGAAAACAATTGTTCGCTCAAAATCTTGTTTTGATAACAATAGTTTACTCAAAGTCAGCGCTGGAATCCAGAATTTGCCTTTCATCCCTAGCATGGACTTATCACAATTGGATGAGCCATCATCGTCAGTGAGCCACAGTGTCCTCAGTGAGACTGAAATCAAGCAGATGACGTTTCAAATGTCGAATAAATCATTAATTCAACAAGCGTATTGAATAATTGTAAGAATATCTCCCAAAAATATTTTTAAAAAAACAAAAGAATACAGCACTTATGAATTTATCGGTCCCACAGTAGGACAGGGTAACAATAGTGGCTTGACCTGTTTTACTTGTACACACAAAGTTACGGTTGTTTTAAGCGGACTGCAATAGTCTATGACATTTGGAGGCTTTCGGAGATTTATTTGGAACTCAGTAGACGACAGAGAAAGACTCTTCAAGGCTTCACCGCCTGCCTAGAGAAGATGGTCTGACATTGAACTGTTGACAGTTTAAACGTCACCCTTATTTAGCCGCCCCCTTCAACAATGTGTTCCCGAGCACAAAAAATATAAGTTTACAAAGCAACAGTCAATATAACTGGTTGTCAGTCGTGTGGATCACATAATCTGCAGATTAATGGTATTGAAAGTTCCTAGAATCGATTTTCTCAACGTGTTGGTTACACACACACACACATATTTATTGAGACTTTCTTTGTTTTACCTACCTGTTAAATTCAGCGGGTGATTCAATGTTTCAATAGAATATTCGTCTCCATCAAATATTTGTTTTAATGAATGTATGATATGCTGTTTTAAAATGTCTTCATTTTGTTTGTCTAAAGGTAGATGAAAATTAAAGATCATAGAAGAAATAATATTAATAACATAGTAATTGTTCACTAGAGGATAGATAATTAGTGAGAATCGATGGCACAGTGGTAGAATGCACTCCAACCACGCATGTGGCTTGGGGTTCGATCCCCGACAGACGCACTCATTTAGCTCGCCAAGCCAATAATAAGACTAGTAAAGAGGGAAGGTTATGCACTAGGCTAGCAACCTCATCTCGCAAAAAAATAACTACCAGTGCTACCGAAACCTGAAAGCTCTAGCTTGAAGCTCGCTGTGTCCCACGGGGAGCGTGAAGGAATAAACAAGAGGATAATTAGTGTCAAGTGTCTAATAATTGGTGTTATTGCCAGTCGATTTCAACTAGTCAGTTTTATATTGTTGTCGTTCAACAAACTAGGTGACGATTGATGGAAACCATCAGAAAGCCCTAAAATACTTTATCTTAATGATTGTTGGCACTTATAAGAAAAGAAGTAATAATTATATATGATTAAAGGCAGTCGACACGAAGCCTCACCCAAATGGGATTTCGTGTCTGTTGACAATCACCTCTCAGCAAGTAGTGTATATATCTGCAATCTTGAAGATTCTCATGTCCCCCTCCCTGAGATTCGAACCCATGTCATCCAATGTTGCAATCAGAGACGGTACCACTGAGTTATTCAGGCTCGCGACTGATCTCTTCTAAGATACTTTGATTGAATACTAGTTAGTATGCGTCTTGTACATTTTTTTGGTTCAAAGTAAACTCCATCAGTCAAGTTTACAATTTACCCACCATGCTAGATGGCTAGCCATCACGATACACTGTGAGTTGTTGTCATTATTAGATGGTTAGAGGCAATCGGAAGGAAAAGCCATGGACCAAAGTTTTGGGTTTGTTGGTACTTGTCGGCAAGGTGCAAGACTCACGTCTAGTCAAAGTTTTACACCCTTTTGAAAAACATTAATTTGATGGTTATAGTATGAAATTATCTCAGACGATTCGCCTTTTATACTTTCAAGTAACATAGACATGATTTAATGATTCTGTTTTGCATGAGGCGGTGTACACGTTGTGTGAATTCCATTTTATAAGTAAATCTTTTCAGGAAGTGTACTGAGTTATAAAATCAAAACCTTAAATGTCAGACAGGTTAGAATAAAATATTCTCTTGTAACAGACGAAGAAGAAGACGAATTCAATCAAGATGATTAGAATAAAAAGATGAAGAGGAAGCCATTTTTTTTCTTCTTGTTAGATTTCATCGAGGACTGAAGTCTTCCTGATGTAGTTGTCTTTTCTGAACTGGATGGTTTATTTATTTACGAAGCTTTCACTGCCCCAAATACTAAGCAACATCTTCAGCGCATACTTTAGTTTGATGAAGTGAGTTTTTAGATTTTTTTCTAGATTTCTCCACGACTCTATTAGTCATTTCTCCTGGTCGTTGACCTTGAAATAGACTAGTTGCTTCCGTCTGTTTTCATACCCTCTAATCTATACTTGTATTGGTACTGATTGTTTGCGCTTCACCTGAAATTCCCTTTTTATCGATGGGTAGATTTTGTCTCTCTCTCGATGTGTCTATTAATTGACGATTCAGTGGAATACCAAGCTTCTAAAAATTCTCTAACATTCTTGGTGTTTCCTCTGTCTAATATTCAAACGTGGTCCCAGTCGAAATGATGTCCATCGTTGTCTCTATGCAGCGATATGAACGAGAGAGTGGGTGTCATATCTTCTCACTGCTAGTGTGGTGAAAGCAGGCCGTGAGAAAATATGAGCAAGGCTGATTCAACAACCAATCACAGCAAAGTTAACGTGGCAAAATATGATTCGCAGATAGAGAACTCTATTTGTCGAGGAATCCCGAAACAACCAATCAGAAGCCTGCGTTTGTCTGCCTAACTTCTGATAAACAACCAATCAGATAACTGCGCTTGTCTACTTGCATAAGCTATAATAATGTATGTGACATATGTATAAATACGTGTTGATTTTCATAATAAAACGATCTGTTGCCTGGCCCTTGTCTTCTGTTGTTACACTAGGACTGAAGTCGTTTAGAGAATCACTGAAAGACAAGAAGCATTGAACAACTCTCATCCCTGTTTGGCGCTGTTCACAAATATGCATGTATAGCCTCCTCGGTAGTTGAAAGGAAGACCTTAAGAATACAGGCAGCATCCCCTCGGTCACCGGGTTGAAAATCAATAGCACATGAATTCTAACTTCTGTCGGATGTTTTCGTCGATGGGCATCAATCAGCTCTACCCTGACGTGATGGAAACTTCCAGCCACGATTTCTCATTATAACTTCAGAATGACCATATTTTTTAGCCACAAATGAACTTCAAACTGATATACAGGTATATTTTTAGACCTTTTGTGCGTGGCACGGAAAACAGTTGGATAATAGAATGGTTAACTGAATAAAACTAATCAACTAACTTCCAATAGGTGCCTTTATGTGGTTCAGGAACTTCGCACGTCACAAAATTTAATTTTCTGACAAGCTAGTGCAGACTTTCATTAACAACTACCACCTTCATTCATTATTGAAGATTAAATGGTGGGCCAGAAAGGATTAACAATAAGACACTCTGAAAGGCGCACAGAACCAATCAAGAACAGGTAGAATAAAATGGAGATGGATTGCCCACATCCTAAAGAGGTTGTGAAGTAAAATTAGATGCCAAGCAAGTCGTTCACCTACCTGGGAAGCATCGTTTCAACTACAGGCGAACAGAACTGACGAGGATATCAAAGCCACAATCGGAAAAGCAAGACAAGCTTTCATTACTCTTAAGTCTGTGTGGAGGTCAACAGCACTCAAATAAGATCCGGATTTTTAAATACAATGTGAAGTCCGTCAGTGCTATTATACGGATCCGAGACTTGGCGAGTCACATAGAGCATCTCAATCAAACTTCACACCTTCATCAACAGCTGTCTTCGCTCAATACTCAAGATCAGATGGCCAGCCAGAATTGATCAGGAACAGGGATCTCTGGGAGCGAACCAATCAGGAACCGATTGTGAAACAAATAGGCAGGAAGAAATGGAGATGGATTGGCCATACGCTGAGGAAACTATCAAGTGACATCGCTAGACAAGCCCTCGAGTGGAACCCGAAAGGGAAGCGGCGAGTTGATCGTCAGTGCAAGGGTGACTTTGAGGAGGTCATGCGAGGAGGAGATGAAAGCATGTGGGCAGATTTAGAGCAGGGTGAAAAAGTTGTCAGAAAACCGAAGGAAATAGAGGTGCGCAGCTGAAGCCTTATGTTCCTCTAGGAACTAAAGGATACAATAATAATAATAAGTCATCGAGCAGGACGTTAATGAGAAACAACAAGTTGAGCGCCGTTGAGCTTATAATCAGTGGTGGGGTTAGCTGTTAAAAAAAGACTGAAAAGAACAAGGTAGTTTGGAGATGTGTTCATGAAACCCCCCATGCTCCACTCAAAGCCGGATGGAATTATAAATAAGAATAATGATAATAATATAAGACAACTAACCTGTGACTGCATTTTGTGCTGTTGAAATCATCTGAGGAACCCTTAGATATATCACTTCACTGAATAGCCTCGGTACATGATATACTAACTGATGTACTGTTTTAATTATCGATTGATTTGCATGATATGAGCATATAAATAATATATGCTATTAATTAGGTAAATAAGAAAATTATTCAACTGAATATTAGACACGTACATTTATGTGAAAATAAAGAAAATTGATCAAACAGGTTATCTACAAAATGGTAGAATATTGAGTGTTAGGTGGTTGAAGGCAATCGGCAGGAAGCCTTCAACACCATCTAGGTTTCGTGCTAGTTGGCACTCATTGATCAGCAAGGCGTATTTGAAACCACAATGAAGGAACTCATGCCCCTCATCTGAGAATCCAACCCACATTACTCAGTGAGTACTACAGTCAGAGACATTATCATTACTTGAGCTATTGGGGCTCGCAAATGATCTCCTGTAGGACTGTAGTGGGTACTTTTGATTGTACACTAGTTAGTAACTAGTGTGCTGTAGACTGAATTCTGTCAGTCAGGTTTGACGATATTAAATGCACTGGATGACGTGGGCTCGAATCTCAGAAAGAGGACATGAGTTCCTTCAATGTGGCTGCAGATACGCTTTGCTGACTGACAGACTGGTGAGTGCCAACTAGCACGAAACCTAGGTGGTGTTGAAGGCTTCCTGTCCAATGATTGCCTTCAACCATCTAATATCATGAAATCAATTCACACCGTGATGGTGAGCTACCTAGAATGGTGACCACATTGTCCAATCAAAATGCTGACTGTATCTCACACTGGTAGACAGCTTCAAAGGTTTGACTGAAAATCAAACAGAATTAAGATGCAAAAGTTGGTTGAACTGAAGATCTCTGGGTTACCAGCAAGTTTTCCAACTCTTTTGAAATAATAATGGAGTAAATAATAGTAATAACCTGATTACCCACAAAAGAAACTTTGTGCAGACATTATTTAAAAGAGTTCAAACACACACTGTAGTACTACCGCGGTGTTGAAGAGAATGGAGGAATAATGCCTACTAACTAACCGTCTTCAAATGAATGGATACCCTCACAACAATTTCATCAAAAAGTGTTGAAAATCGAATCACAACACCAACAAGAAACCATTATCAAGGACTAAAAGAAAACTCGTCCTACTGTATATTAAAAAATACCTCTGAAATAACAGCTGGAATATTAAGACAGTTTGAAATAGGTATATAGCACACAAGCCAGCCAGCCAGCCAACCAGCCAGCACAATCCCCACTTCATTCGATATTGTGCAAACCAAAAGACCCATCCAACAGAAAGCGAAGATAAAATTAGCACCATTCACAAAAGAAATTCTTTTTTAACCTGTAACAGACATTGCATCGGTCAACAAAATGAGCGTCCCCATTTGAATCCGAATCCAAGAACACAAGTTGACTGTAAAAAAAGGCATGCTATACATTCTTTCATATCAGTATATGTAGATAATTATGGACACCAATTTGATGATTGGGATAATGTGAAATTTTTAAATAGAGGAAACACCAAAGACAATGCTGGGTACTCAAGTAAATCAGTAATTAACAAACACATCACTGTAAACCAAATTTACCAGCTGATAAAAAACAAGTCATTATATAACAAGAAAGTCTGAATTCCAAGTCAATAAGAATGATCACCATAAACGTAAATTAACAACCAGTCATGACAGTGGTTGCCAGGCAATGGTGTATTACATCATTCGTGGAGAATTTAAATAAGTTCATTTTATACACTGAAGGATAATGTTGTCTAGAAGGATGAAAAACACTGCGCGATTCAGTCAACCAGCCCAGAGAACACAACTAATTCAATTTCCAAGCATTTTATTACAAGACGAAAAAAATGCCATATTTTCAATCAGGTCGAGACGATTTTGCATAGTTTCAGGATTCATTTGAACCGGAAGCTGATCCTGTGGTGAGAGCAGGCCGTGAGAAAATATGAGCAAGGCTGATTCAACAACCAATCACAGCAAAGTTAACGTGGCAAAATATGATTCGCAGATAGAGAACTCTATTTGTCGAGGAATTCCGAAACAACCAATCAGAAGCCTGCGTTTGTCTGCCTAACTTCTGATAAACAACCAATCAGATAACTGCGTTTGTCTACTTGCATAAGCTATAATAATGTATGTGAAATATGTATAAATACGTGTTGATTTTCATAATAAAACGATCTGTTGCCTGGCCCTTGTCTTCTGTTGTTACAATCCCTTGAGAATTCAATCGGTTCCAAGCTAAAATATTTTATAGTGTTGCCAACCAGAAAGCCACTGAAAAGCCAAGACAACTGAATGACCGTGTAATCCAGGTTAGTGACTCTTTCACAACCCAAATTCCAATTCCTGACCGGTGGATATGCGACAGAGTAGTAGAACAGGGGGAGTCAGACAGTTTATAAGTGCTATCAAAATCAACACACTTGTAGGTTGAAGTGAAAACACGGATAGATGGAATTACTGTCGGAATCCACACACTACCGACTGACTGACTTGAATAGTTTGAGACCACTCACACCAACTAGTAGTGCTTGCTAGCTAGATGGAAGCAATCTAGCCACCTGCTGGTCATTCAGCTAGTTTGGGGTCAATTTCATCATCCGTGTACCCGGCATGACTCACCTGAGAGAGCCGAATCAATACAGACCATCAGAATTCTGAATAGCAACTTTAGCAGACTGGTTGGCGTGTTCTTGTTCGTTTAAAAAAAACTTACTTTCATTGTATATTAGAGCCTTTCACAAACTTTAGGATACGTCCTCCCTCAAACACGTTTTATAGATAAGTTTAAGAGATGTGTAGAAATATCAATTTTAAATTCTCTGTCTCCTCTGTCATACGTTTCTCAATAGAAGAGCTAGGTCGTCTGTTCTCACCATTAATGGGTTCTTGGGATTCCATTTCCTTCTGATGCCATTTAGGAATATGCTCTGAAGCCAGCTCTTATTTACAGAGGATGATGAGTCCTCCTTATGTATGCGCGTCAACACATACATTAAAACTGGTAAATAAAGTGGGATGCGACATCAATTTTTGCATGTTCTAAGTGCTTAGATGGATATCTGGCCTTCCAGGGCAAGTTAGAGCGTACGGAGATTTGTCATATGAACTGATGACAACGAGTGGTGTCCGTCAGCGAGGGATGCACACTGTCCTCATAACTTATGTTTGATTTCATCATAGATGTACTAGTGGTCTTAACCCCTAATCTGATGCTACAGGACTGGATTACATCAACTCCTAACTTAGAAATAGGGAATGAAATGGTGGGACGTGTTGAATACTTCACTTATTTGGTCAGTTGCATCAGCCAGCTTCAGAGGGTTGATCTCTGACGAAATCTCACCATGGATACAGAAGGCTCATTTGGCATATGCTCGCCGACTTACTCCATCTATGCCTTAGTAGAAAGGATATCCGGCTGACTGTTGACCAAAGGACGTGTGCACTGCACTGCAGCAGTTCGCTGTCTTCCTTTATAGCTGTTAGATATGGCCATTGAAAGTGGAAGACATGAAAAAACCAGCTAGCTGTCTTTGATCATAGGTGTCTGCATTCTATCTCCCGTGTTAAGTGGTATAATGGAGTGAGCAATATTGAGGTTAGGCATCGATCGACTGCAAGGCAAGGTAATGGGGGATATCACTAGATGAGGCTGTGAAGTTATATCGATTGAGATGATTAGCACATGTGTTCCGCTTGCATTCTCAGCTATCGATTGCCGTCCTCGACTGGCAATATCGACTGACTGATATAGAATGGATCAGTTTGGAAAAGAGTCAGCACATAGTGGTCAAACAAGAAAATGGCTTTATCAACCAGTTAGTTTAAGCGAACTAGCTAGACACCTAGGGAGGTGTAGAATTCTTGTCTACCTAGTTAGGGTTTCGGGATGGTAAGAACGAATAAATGCTTGAGACAGTTGATGATATGGCTCAAAATCGTTCTCAATGGCTGGCGCAGATGCATTCACTACTCTTTGTGATTTACCATATCCAAAAAGCACTACTGTTCATCAATATCACTATTCAAGTATTGGTTTGCAGGGATTTGGTTGATTGGTTACAGGATTTCATCATGAGCTGACATTGTTACCATTCGAAAACCAGCTGGGAGCACTGGACAGCTGTTTCGTCAGCCTAGTTTGGGACTCCTCAGCAGTACGCACCTACCGCCAGGGTTCGAACCCAGGTCCTTCTGGTTACAAGGCGAGCTAGCTCGTAAACAATTAAGCCACTGGGACCCGATCCAATTGCCAGCCCATGAATTCTAACTTCTGCCAATTCACGACATAGCGCAACCGCTAGTCAATGTCTTCGACGAGTACTTGTCCTCACACCCGACCTGGTGCACCCTACTGGTCACGACTTCCCACTGGAACCCCGGGTAACTACCAGCTCATGATGAAATCCTGTAACTAATCAAATCCCTACAAACCAATACTTGAATATCAATGAGATGCTCACTAGCGACTAGCCCTATTCAGGTAGGTAGTTATTTGAGGTTCTAGTGAGAAGCCGTGACCAGTAGCGTGAAGCTGGTCAGGTGTGAGGACAAATACTCGTCGAAGACATCGGCTAGCGGTTGCGCTATGTCGTGAATTGGCAGAAGTTAGAATTCATGGGCTGGCAATTGGATCGGGTCCCAGTGGCTTAATTGTTTATGAGCTCGCTAGCCTTGTAACCAGTAGGGCCTGGGTTCGAACCCTGGCGGTAGGTGCGTACTGCTGAGGAGTCCCAAACTAGGCTGACGAAACAGCTGTCCAGTACTTCCAGCTGGTTTTCGAGTGGCTTTCTAACCAGTGTCAGCTCATGATGAAATCCTCTAACCAACATCACTATTCTTTTTCACTCACTCACTCACTCACACTTCTGTTTATTATCTCTATCTCTCTCTTGAATCTCTCCTTACTGTCTTCTCTTGCTTTAAGTGGTATATGAAGGAAGTGTGGCAAATCGAACTGGTGAGTATCTTTACAAATTTCTGTGTTGAGACCAGTGCTTTTCAAGCCAACTAATCATTTGGAAAAACAGTAAAATAGTAATCAATAGAATACTCTTTTCTTAATTCATGATTACAGTTACAAAAATATGTAGTCAAGAGTGGGGGACGAAGTGGGCTCAAAAAGTGTCTGTTTTATATGATCTTTATTCTACAGCTTTCCTACTTACTCTTGTGACGGAGTTCATAATGTTATTACACTATAACAATGTGACTTTTCTAACCTGACGAGTTACAAATCGGAAAAAATACACATCGTAGATTCTACTTTCAAGCACTGTCAGCTAGATAACCTCGAGATGTCACTTTGTTAGATGATGATGGCTAAAACTGAAATCCAAAATGCACATTTCGCCCTTTTCGAGCTTCATCATCTGGATGTACCTGCAACTCTGAGAACTAAGAGTCATCACATGTCAACGAAAGGCTGAATATTTTAGCACAATCAGTCATCAACGAGAGGAAAACAAACTAACTCAAACAACTAGGCAATATCATGGTTATCTTTAAATATCGATCAAAGGTAGCCTCTGCACGACGAGACGAGAAAGTTTTAATAGACATCTAGCTTTTCAGTCACACAGAAACAGCAGTTAACATGCGATTCAGAAAAACTTCAACAGCCTCTAACCTTTCGTATATATGCTTCATCTGGATAGACTCTGAGCATTTCATTCACTATTTCATAACCTTCATCTCTGGCTAATCTATAAATTACAAAGAGAAAAATCAAGAAATTGTTGGAATGAAATAGACTTATATATAAGTAGTATATTTGTCTATGCGAAAGAAATTGTCGGGTAGGCAAAGGACTGAGTGAAGCTGGTATACGCAGCTCAGCACTAATTCACATTGTCAAAACAGGATATCAGGTTGACATTAACAAAGCTTTTAAAGCAGTTCAGCTTATTTCATCAACCTTTTCTAATGCTCTATGAGTTAGACTACTACATGCATCACAGGCAAACAAGTCTGAAAAAGTCAAATCTGTGTGTTGAAAAGAAATTTATGCACAGTACATTTCTTTGTCATCACTGTCCACAAAACATGAATAGAGTGAACAAAAAGAGGACGAACATATTTATAGAAAGAAAACAGCTTATGTTTCCACCTTACAGGTCTTCATCAGCTGCTAACAGCTTAAAAATGACATAAGTTATTGTGAATGCGAAAATATACAACATGCTACAAAATTAATAGAAAATTCAAAAGGTATAGTAGAGGAGTCTTCCAACTTACTTCTGCTTACATTTTTTGTCCTATGCCTGTCGTCTCCTCTGGAACGTTCCACCACGCTATGCACAAATAAACTCTAGTTGTCATATTGCCGAATATCTCTCCTTTAGCTGTTAGTTTGCAGGGATTTTGATTGGGTTACAGGTGTGATCACAAGCTGATATCAGATGGAGAACCATTGGAAAGCCAGAAATGAGTACTTGATGGCTGCATTTGTTCCTAGCTTAGGACTCCTAAGCAGTCGAACTCATAACCTTCCTGTTGCAGGGCTAGCTCGTAAATCACTCAGCCACTAGGATCTGGTGAAATGGTCCATCACTGGCTGGCATTTGAATTCATGGAACATTGATTGCTAGAACAATGGCCGACTGACAACGTGCTCGCTTCGTAACCTAAAGGCTTTGCCTCCTCCGTTCCCAGGAGATTCACGGGACCATTCATCATCGGCAGAGGTGGCGCACTTTTCGATTGGTGCGCTACAATTGCTTAGTTACATAAAACTCTCATTTCTCTAGGTTTTTTTACCACGAAGTTTTGGAAATTATTGCAATCCGTTTACTTACGAACACTAAGCCTGTAGATATAATCTTGTTGACTACTAATACCTATAACTAACTGTTTGGCATTTTGTGACTTTCTATACTAATTCATATCTGTAATTGTATATATTGTTGGCTTTATATGTTCAAGTTGGCCCAAGTCAGTGAGTCTATGGTTTTGGTATCATTTAAATTAACTGTGCTCAACTGTATTGCATGTTGTTGTATTGTATTGTTGTTGTTGCTTGTTACCCCTTTTGCAGTGAATTATTTTCCTTTTGCTGGTGTTACTCTGATTGTTTTATTCCTTGTTTTCTGATTTTAAGGGGAGCAACCCAAAAAAGTCGCTTCTCTCTTAACTTTATCTTAATGTAACAATTCCTTTCTCAGGCGTGAGGCTAGCAACCCCACCCTGTAAACAAAGTTGCTACAGAAAATTCAGCACGATGAATCTCTTTGTGCCAAAAGAAAAAGTCTGTGTGAGGACATGGAACGTTCGCACCATGTACGAGATTGGCAAAGCTGCCCAGATTGCAAACGAGAGTGAGGACGGGAGCGAGGCAAGGCTGTCTACTATCGCCAATGATTCTCCTGGTTGCAGTAGACTGCATAATGTGATAGACAACGGGAAATGGTGAAACAGGCACGAAAATCTTGGAGGATCTGGGTTTCGCCGATAACATACATACGTCTGATTTCCCACAAACTGGAAGATATGCAAGTGAAAAGCAACAAGCTGGCAGAAGAAGTATCAAAGATAGGACTTCAAATGAACATAGATAAAACAGGGGCGATGAAGATTCCAGGCCAACAGCGACAGCAACAACAACGGACAATTATCGACATAAATGGACGAAACCTGGAAGAGGCAACCTCCTTCACCTACCGACCTACCTGGGAAGCATCGTTTCAACTACAGGCGAACAGAGCTGACGAGGATATCAAAGCCAGAATCGGAAAAGCAAGACAAGCTTTCATTACTCTCAAACATGTGTGGAGGTCAACAGCACTACTCAGCATCAAAAATAAGATCCGGATTTTCAACTCCAATGTGAAGTCAGTCAGTGCTACTAACTATACGGATCAGAGACTTGGCCAGCGCGTCATAAAGAGCATCTCAAACAAACTTCACACCTTCATCAACAGCTAGCTGTCTTCGCTCAATACCACTCAAGATCAGATGGCCAGCCAGAAAAGTTCAGCAACAGGGATCTCTGGCAATGACCGAACCAACCGGGAACTGATTGTGAAACAAATAAGCAGGAAGAAATGGAGATGGACTGCCTGGCCATACGCTGAGAAAACCATCAAGTGACATCACTTGACAAGCCATCGCTCGAGTGGAACCCGAAAAGGAAGCGGCGGGTTGGTCGTCGCACGGTGGGGTGACTTGGAGGAGGTCATGTGAAGAGGAGATGAAAGCATGTGGGCAGACATGGAGCGGGGTGAAAAATTTGGCATAAAACAGAGGGCAATGGAGATGTGCAGCTGAAGCCCTACGTTCCTGTAGGAATTAAAGGATATAATAATAATAAATTCCCTGCTAAATATTTTTTTCAGTATTTCTCTAACTGATGACGGCTTGTGATGAAATCTAATACGAGGTCAAACAGTTGATATCGATTTCTCAGTAAGACATCCACCAGGCAGCAAGAACCATAACAGTTAAAATCGTTTGCATGTATACGACAACAATAATTGGAAGACACCAGTTTATTCGTTACGACGACCAAACGTCGAAGAGGTTTGAACAGAGCATACTATCTAGCTCAAATGAAATTTCCTACAAATTCTCATCGAAAACTGCATACAGAATTCACTTCTTGGAGAAAGAGAGAGAGAGAAAGCATTAAAGATAACATCCAAGTAGACGTGAAAGCCGAAAATCTAAAAATTCCTCATTTTGAAATATAAATATCTACCAAAGCTATTGAAACATTCACCACATGAGGTACTTACTTACTTTAACTCATTTACAGAACCTTTTGAAACATACCAAACAGCATCATAATTTAATGTATTCATTGAATTTAACCTGTCAGTGAACATTGAATCTTGTGTCATATTATTCCAGCATAACAAATAAATTGGTTCATCAATAATCTCTTCGTCAAAATACACATGATACATTTGAATTGGTGAGATATACTTATAAATACAAATAATTATGAAAGAAATATTTAATTATGTTACCATTTCAGGCCTTATTGTTGTATAGCCTGTGAGACTAGTGAATTGTTCAATATTCAATGGTAAATAATCAATAATGGTGGATTTCAAATTCATGCCCCACAAATTGCTCATATTGTTGTCGAAATTGTAATGAACGAATGATTTCGAAAATGTTATGATTAGCAGTAAATTTATGAGTTGAAAATAAAAAACAATATTTGACATTTGAAAGAATAACCTTTAATATTCATCAGTGTTCTTTGAAATTGGTGAATATTACACCATTTTGTACCTCATCAAAAATATACACCTTGATAGAGAAGTGGAAAATATCAAATGAATAAATTATACGATAAGTTCTTTGGTTATGCGAAAAAATATTCCGTGTAAAAAGCATAACTGATAAATTTCACAGCTGAAGATACCTCATTGGACAAAAGATTGACTAAACAGCTATTATGTTCCACGCAGTCATAGAGGAAGTAACTTGCAGCGTAAATATGTCAGCAGTAACAATCCCCAAACTTAGGCACTGAATGATACGGGTATAGAAATTATAAGGCCATGTAAGTTCCACTGATACTGTGCACAGATCTTTCAAACGAGTATCAGTAAAGGTGAAACCTATCTCCCTAGAGGTTTAATGCGTAGCTCTGTAGATATGTCAGCTCCTTGGAGGGACTCTTCGACGGTGTCCAATGGTAACTAGAAGCTGATATTTCTAAAGAGACCGAAACAATTTGTTTAAATCACTTCTGAAACTATGTCTGAATAAAGTTATGGAATAGTCTAGTCTGTCTATCACTCCCCCGGTCTGCACTATCACTATTGTCTCCTTTAGTATGCAGAGGAATATAGCGCTTCAGCCGCACGCCTCCATTGCGTACGGTTCTCCGCCAACATTTTCACCTGACTTCACGTCTGCCCACATGCTTTCATCTCCTTTTCACATCACCTCCTCCCCATGTTACACTCACCCTGAGGATCAACTGGCAGCCCCTCATTCTGGTTCCACCAATCCACCTCCATTTCTTCCTGCCTATTTGTTTCACAATCAGTTCCTGCTATGTTGGTTCGCTCATTGCCAGAGATCCCTGTTGCTGATCTTTTCTCGCCGGCCATCTGATCTTGAGTGGTATTGAGCGAAGACAGCTAGCTGTTGATGAAGGTGTGAAGTTTGTTTGAGATGCTCTTTATGACGCGCAGTGCAAGTCTCTGATCCGTATAGTTAGTAGCACTGACTGACTTCACATTGGAGTTGGAAATCCGGATGTTATTTTTGATGCTGAGTACTGAGTGTTGACCTCCACACAGATTTGAGAGTAATGAAAGCTCGTCTAACTTTTCCGGTTCTGGCTTTGATATCCTCGTCAGCTCTGTTCGCCTGTAGTTGAAACGATGCTTCCCAGGTAGGTCGGTAGGTGAAGGAGATTGCCTCTTCCAGCTTTCTCCCATTTATGCTTGCTGGTCGCTGTCTGTTGTTGTTGTTGCTGTTGTTGTTGTTGGCCAGGAATCTTCATCACCTCTGTTTTCTCTACGTTCACCTGATATCCTTTCTATCGTTGATGCTTCTTCGATCGCCAACTTGTCACTTTTCACTTGCATATCTTCCAGTTTGTGGAAAATCAGACATATATCATCGGCGAAATCCAGATCCTCCGAGTTTTTGTGTGGATCCATTTTATGCATGTTCCCTCACTGCCCGCCGCTGTTTGTAGCATTATCCAGTCTACCGCCCTTAATGAGGAAAATGATTGGAGATAGTAGGCAGTCAGCTTGTCTTACTTCCATCTTCACTTCGAAGGATTTCATGAATTTCACCTTGTAGATTACTTGGCATGCAGCATAATCGTAAAACTGTTGGATGAGGTGCATAATTGTTGGTGACACCTCGTAGTAGCGAAGAAGTTTCCAAATCACCTCTCAGTCGACGCTGTCGAAGGCCTTTTCAAAGTCGACGAAGTTGAGGTAGAGAAATGTGAGACTGCCATTCCAATCTCTGTTCAATGATGGTACGTAATGTTCCCATTTATGGATATATATATATATAATCATAAGTAACAAAGTACGTAAATAAATAAGTAATAAGTGTTGCTCACCTAAACTATTGTGAACATAAATTCTATTACGTACGAACTAATATATTAACGTACAAGTCACTGTAAGGAAAATCGATCAATAAATATACTTTCAAAAGTAAATCAGATAGGCTAAGTGATCATGTGCATATAAGTGGTCATCCCACATCTTATCAATCTCTAAGAAAATGTTTCGTCTACAACCTTCCACGTTAAAAAGTTAAGAAGATAAAGTATCAATCAACCTTTACTTCTGTAGTTTGTAAACTGTATTTTACCTATTGTACTCTATTGCTCTCCAATAATCTTTTCTGGGCTTCTCAAAAAAGACTATGTCATATTACGAAGGGTATTAAATGCTGTGAGTAGGGCTTGTGGTTTGTCACTGCGTGAGCTAGCCAATATTATATTCGAGAGACACATAAATTCCTGTACAAAATGGACAACTATCTATCCCCTTGTATCTCATCAGGTAGGACAAGAAGTCGATATAAGAAGTTATATGCTCACACTACTAAGTATGAAAATTCTACAATACCGTATTAAGCCTGTGTTTTATGTGATAAAGACACTGTTAGACGTGAAACATATAAGAAGTTACTATGTAATTAGCAAAGTGAATCGACCCTTTCATTGTTCATCTTTCTGTAATTTTATGCTGTCATCCTTTCTATCGTTTAATTATAACTTTTCTATTTTATTTTAGTTGTTATTAATACAATTTTATACTTTATGCATATTTTTCTCCGTATTGCTTACTGTTATTTGCTACACAACTGCTATAACAACGTTTTGTTATTGTTATTATTATGTAATGTTTATGTCTTTTGCCATTTTGAGTAAATTAGACGCAATATTGTACTGAATGCTGAAAATTCCTTGCTGTATTATAAGTAATGTTTTTGGAATAAAGCAAATTATATATATATATATTCATTCTGGATCTGCTCTCAACGTAAGGAACAAGATGCTTATATTCATTAATAATGTGATGTTAGTCGATGCTTCTATGTGTTTCAAAGACCTCATTTGCGCCTCACGAAAAGCATTTCCAACACGCTGCAGTAGACTTTCAGGTTTCACATTCGCATTTATTGACTGAAGATAGAAGAAATAATAGAAGACTTGTAGCCTATTTTAATCCTTTTCCAGTAAACTTTCCGTGTTTGCCCAAACCTTTCTTGAGTGAATCAGTCGAGGACGCTGACACCACTTCTTCTAGGAGTCAACTCCAGGAGTTCATGACTCGGTGTGAGGGAGGATCAACACTCCGGAGCAATATAGTTCATCCTTAGTGTTTTAACTCTCCTACTCTATCCTCTAAGGTGTTCCAACTTGAGTGGAAGGAAATGAGAGAATAGGTCAGGTCCGTTTTCATTATTTAAAATTCTAAACATTGTGATCAAATGCCCTCTCTGCCTACGGTATGACAGGGAGAAGAGATTTAAGCTGTCTAGTCTTTCCTCGTATAATAAGTTAGTCATGCTGAGAATCACACGTGCTGTCTTCCTTTGGACCCTTTCTAGAATATGTGTGAGTCCCCTTTAAGACAAGCACTGGCTGCCTGGATACAGTTTTCTCGTATTGATCTCACCAGAGGAGGTGAACATATCTGTGGTAATTCTTGTAAGAGCTCTGCGAATTGCTCATTGGGGAATCTAAAACTGCATGGAGCCATCGCGAGACAATATGCTGTAGAAAACTTTGAGTATGATCCCAAGTCTCTAAGTGTTATCAATATTTCGTTATTAATATTATTTTGAGCAATTTTATCGTAAGATATTCTTTATCATTCTCCTATCTAATTATCTATTTACTGTCGTCACTTACTATGCGATCCATTTTGATACTTGTCATCATACTTTCTGAACGTTTTTGGTATCGCTAAACCTGGTCTAAACTTACTAATCGTCACCTTTCTTGTCAGCTGCAGTTTTGATTGGTTACAGGTTTTCAACGTGAGCTACACTGAACCCGTTCCCAGTAGCTTAATGGTCTAAGACCTCACCCTGTAACCAGAATATCCGGGTTCGAACCCCTGTGGGTGCATACTGTTGAACAGTGACTCCCAAACTAGGTTGATGAAACAGCTGGCTATCCAGGACTCTCAGCTGGTTTTCTAATGGTTCTCTGGCGAATTTCAAGAATAGCGTTCCAGGAGTGCTAACGCCCCGATGACATTGAACGCCTGCTAGTCGTTGGCTAATGGCACATGTCATTATCATAGCCGACATATCAACGCTATTCACACCAACTTAGGAGCAAATTTCATCTAGATCACGTGTTTTTAAGTACTGTTTGGACAATGTGTTAATAGCTCGTTAGGGTTTTGGTTTACGGTTAGGATAAGGGTTGTGATTAGAGTTAGGATTAAGGTTAGGGTTACGATTAGGGATAGACTTAGGGTTGATATCATTTGTTTTAATTTGTTTTCTTATCCACATTTTTCTGGTAAGTGGTCGTCGATCCTCTTACAGGAAACCATAGTAACTCAACAGAGGGCTTTGGGGAGGACTGCACAACAGGATAAGAGAGAGATAAACGACTCACAAAAACAGCTGATCTTCAGTTACCTCGTTGAATACATGTCGATAGTACAGTGGTTAGGACTCTCACCGACCATGCACATGGTCCGGGGTTCGAGCCCACCCCGACGCACACCTGATATCTATGGTTGGCCTGTAAAATTTGGGCTACCGATATCCATGCTGAGAATTCCATACTTGTACCTAAAATACAGTGTGGAATCAAGCTGTAATAAAAAAAAATAATAAATGTCCAGAAACTAGTCTAACTTAGCAACTAATACTCCTCATTTTAACTGGGACGTATTTTTTAAGTCATATCAGAGAAAGATAACCTGTTTAATATACTTTCATGCATTTTGTTGTAAATATACCTCATTTTTATTGATTGGTCAGCTCAAGGACACTCGTGCTTTCTCATCCCTTGGAGTTTCCTGGAGTTTTATTGAGAAGCAGTGAGTGACTGCAGTGAGGTACAACCAGTCAAGTGTGACGATGGATTTCCCACCCGATGACCATCGATTGGTTG